GCTACAAATATTCTGTCGCGCATAATATTGGCGGACTAAAATCGTTTTTGCGCGACGAAACCCCTTTCGTCGCGCAAAGACTAAAATGTAGTAGTGAAATCTACCTCTAGCTTGGGCTATATGTTGAGATTTTAGAATCTCTATACAGTTTTTCAGGGCTTGAAAGCCGTATCGATCATGGAAGATTCTCTCTCTCTCTCTCTCAAAGCCACCAATAATGTGGAGACAAATATCTTGGCCGCAGTGATGCATGAAGGAAACTAGTCAAAAGCATGCAGCTAAAAGCGATCGCTTGAGATCTTGTGAGGAATAAAATTGCTCCTCCATGTCAGGCAGATAGATCACAGAGAGAGACTTGACCAAGGGCGGTTCTTCTTGGGAGTGATGGATGGAATCAATGAAATAAGATTTTGTTTACCTCTTTCCCCTCCAACTTGGTCTGTATTTCGATCTTCCAAAATCCCACCTTTTCAAATATTTTTCTTTTTCTTTTTCAAAAGTTCAAATACATTTACTTAATTTATTAGACGTCAATAATCAAATCACTGATTAGAAGATAATTAAAGACATCTCTGAACGTTAAATTTAACCACACTTGATTTTTATTTTTATTTTTTATGAATCAAGAAAAAACTTACAAAGAAGATTCCATTGGAATGCCAATATTCCATACACCAAAACAATTTTTAATTTGAAGAAAATCATAAAACCAAATGCAAAGCTGTGAATAAGGCCCCAATTGAAGGTTTTTGTGGGTGAGATTATGGAAAATTTTGGCCAACAAGTTCAATCAGGTAAGCATAAAGAGGAACATGAACATCTGGATTGAAGGCAGAGACACCCTTTAGACAAAATCATAAGTCTATGTTCCCTTGCTCACTCAACCTAGCTAGCATCACTTAGGATTTAGCTTGTCACACGTTAAAAATCAAATGCACCCACTAATGGAGCTACATTTACAAATATGCACGTCCATCCAGTCACGGGGCGCCCAAATTGGCGCAGACAACTTTTTGCCGAAATTACACATCATTACTGCATGAAGCAATCTGAGACGACATCACTTGCAACTAAAATGTCTACACTTTGTTTACTATATTGATCTTAAACGTTTATTGTGTGGGAGGTTGATTTTACATGCCTAAACAACTGAGATTAGTGAGAAGCTTGTAACTTAAGTGGTTAAGAACAGTTGCACCCGAGGTTCAGTATTTGAATCCCCCTCCCTCACTATCACTTGTATCCCAAAATAAATAAATACACAACTGAGATTGATAGTGAATGGATTTTCAGATTGGACGACGCTCAATATGTATTAAGCTGAAGAAGCCCATTCTTGAAAGCCCAGCCCAAGAACTAACATGTTTGCTTGCTGTCTCGTTCTTTCAGTATTTTGACAGTAAAAAAAGAAAATGGATAACTACTCTCAGCATCAAACTTCATTATTATTAATAACGTTGATGTTGCACTACTGTTTAAATTACAAGCAATTCTTACCTGGATTATAATGTATAAGGAGATTTGTAAATGTTAAAGGAAATCAGCCCTCAATGGGAGAAAAATAATTGCAAGCAATTTCTATACATGTGCTGTTTTTAGAATGTCCCAATAGAACCAAAAGTTTCTGGGAAAAACCACGCAAACCTAACCCATCAACAAAATTGTTTTCGTAGACTGCAACAGCAATTGATTGATGGCCAAATCCCGGCACCTAACCGGAAGCGTTTCTCCTTGCTGAATACGCACGATACACTGCCAGTCCAACAAAGGCAGCGGCGGCGCCAACTATAAAACGATATAACATATCTATATAGTTAGTGTGTATGAACTCAGAAGAGAATTCTTAGAGAGAGAGGAGAGAGTGAAACATACCTGAAACACACATAAGTGATCGATTAACAACCTGGAGGTACTTCTTGCGGTTCTTCCTAGTCTCAGTTTCAGGAATACTCAAGTGAGGATGCTCAGCTACACTTAGGATTCTATTGAACACATCATTCATAGTGTTCAACTTCATGCTCACACGAACAGGTGCCTCTATGCCCAATTCCTGACTAATCTGAAGAAAAGAGTAAAAAATCATAATTATTAGCTAGTTTCTCCCTCAAATAAACAACATGAAGCAAAATCACAACTTCATGGAGTAGTTGATCATTCATTTCCAAACATATGCAATGCAAGAATGTGAAGACAAAACAATGAACACTTTTATACCCCTAGTGAATCTCGTACTGCCATTGGATATGGATCCAGATCATCCTTAGCGGCAATAAGGAGGCAAGGTACACCATAGCCACTTTCTTCTCCTTGCTTAGCAACCTCCACAAGGAGCTCCCTTGATCTCTTCCATGAATGTTCACTTGAACTGGAAAGTGAAAAACAATGTCACAGCATGAAATCACTGAAATAAACAGAACTTATAATTCTTCCGGCACATCTGAGTTATTCAAACAATGCCACAAAGGCATGTATAACCAACCGATCTACATGCTACAAATATTAGATAAACAAATTGATCGAAGTATTTATATGAATCTAACCATCAAAAGGTCTAAATTTTTAATGTGCAGCTTCTAAGTTTGATTAACTTTTTGGCCATTTTTCCCCGTATTTGTATGAATCTAACCATCAAAAACCTTTTTCCAAGAAAAAGCTATTTGCAAACTTTGAACTAGTCCAGACAAACCAAACCTTACATGGGTTGGTTAATTAGGTTCTAAGAAACCACATCTCCTCTGACGGTTTGACTTCGTGTTAAGCCTAGTCTGAAGCGAACAAAACCAAGGTAGTACCTCTATATACAGAATGCCTTGAATTGTTAAAATTATATACATATATGAGTAAACCATGCAAAATTATGTTAAATCCTATAACAATGCCAGTAATCGAAATTGGTCAACAACTCAAAAAAGAAAAGCCTAACACACATTACCATTGTGCTCCATTTTGTGGAAAATTGAAATAATAAATTTGTTAATTTTAATGAACAAAATAAAATCAAATCACCTGTCATGGACAAAGACAGCTACATCACAGGCTGCCAAAAAGGTCTTCTTAGACAAAAAGGTTTTAACTTCGTCTTCTGGTATCTCTCTCAACACAAGAGTCTTCTTATTCCCCTATAGCACAAGTCACAACATCAATTCATGGATACATTTAGGTCCAAGATATTAGAAATCATACAGGCAATCATGATTGTTCATTTCTTTTGTTTGCCACATATCCCTTTACTTTCATCCAGGAATTTATCAAACTTGCTCTCTTCTCACAAAAACAATTTCAATGCGTGTAAGAAATTTTTTTATATTTGACGGTACTCACCCCAACCTGGTTAACAACATTCACTGCGAAACGCTCACCAGTTGCTGTAGTGTCACTCTTTGAGAAAGACCTGAGGTTGAAATTGGCAACAATAAATTAACAATGTCAAACGAAAAATAAATGATGTACAGTCACCACAAATAAATTCTGAAATGGACAGAGTCAAACAGGAAATAGGTAGCAGATATGGCGATAGCTGAAAATTCATAATATAATGCTTGGACACCCAAGTGCGGCACATCCATGTGAGCTTTCTCTCAATTTGGGAAAAAAGAAAATAAGGTTATTTCAGGTGTAAAATATTTCAATTGTGTACAACTCTATAGCCGCATTTGAGAGAATTTTGTTTTTAACCAAGGATTGAAAACAAACGGGAGATAAGGTATTGAGTAAAATTTGGAAGTGTGAGTCAATAGGTTAAATTTGTACAGACACCTCTTCCTCTTCATTTTATATAATAATACAGAGTACTAGATACCATATTGAGCACAGTAAAGTTTGAGAGCAATACCTTCCCACGAAGCAGTGGAAGACATTTCTTTCAGTTTTTTGCTTTTTACGATCTACTGATCTTCTTCTAGTAACATGGAGCGCAGAAGCAGGAGCACCAGTGTATCCAATGTATATCAAGTTAGCCATACTTTTCTTCGGATCTATTAGTGTCATGAGGGCCCACTGGAATCACACATAAAATGCAAATACAGTTACAGCATACAATTGACTTATCGAGATTAAAAGAAAGACACTTTTATCATCAAGAAATAGATAAAACAAAAAATGGTGACGAATATAAGCAGCTACTCTAAACAGGGTAGCAACAAGAAAGAAGATATACCTCAGACAGGAACGCATTAAGAGGTAAATTCCCTGATGCTGTTATCTCTGCAGCATCTTCAAAAGGTAGTTCACTCCAAGGACTGAAAAAAACATTGAACACAATACTAAGAAATCTATTATGGAGGATAAAAAGAAACCAAGACAGGGACATTCATTATTTAATCCCACAATATAGAGGTGGCAGTTAATTAAAAATACTTGAAAAAGGTAGAATAGCATATAGATAGATCAGGACTTCATGCAGGTGGCAGTTAACAGAAAATACTTGAAGACATTAATACATGTAGCTCAGGAAACTATCACAATCAGAAGTACTATATCATAGAAAATACAGAAACTATGAAACATTTTGAACGTGACATCCTGGCTATCTGGACTTACCATTTGAGAAATTAAAGTTAGATTCATTACGAGACAGATTAAAGATGACTCCATCATTAATATGTTTCAGCAACTCATAAAGCTGAACTATATTGTCAGGATGTTATTCCAACAGTCAGGAGGTGGGTGTAAATATTTAATTGTGTGTGAAGAACAGAAAATCTACTGCCCATAGAACAGCAGATATAAGCTGAAGCACACATCTATTAAGTAACTTCAGAACCTTGCAGGCAGCAGAGATGCCCCCTTCTCAGCTGGCACAAGCAGCATTATATGCAGGTAACCATTACAGTGGGGTTTCATTGAATACGTAATAAAAACAAAACTAGGTATGCAAGCAAATATAATGAAATATATACTGAAAACTATTGAACAAATTCTAATAATAATTGAATTCACCTTTCTGGAGCAGTAGCAAATAGTTCCTCAAGCTGATGTGGTTGTAGGGCTCCGTCCTAGTTGCCAAGGTACATTTGGAAATAAAATGACAGAATAATCATTAGCACCATAAACAGAGACAAAAGATAAATTACATTGCAAAGGCATAGAAAGTATGGTGAGAATAGATATCAGGGTATACATTATCAGTGTCAAATAAACGGAAGATCCCCTTCAGGAACTCAACAGCTTCAGTTGTCAGCTCCACGCTCTAAAACAAGACGTTTAAGAATAAGTATTGCATATTCACCATTAAAAAACAAAGTATTATGAAATATGACAGTAAAAAATAAACACATTGGCAGGAGCCAATAAACAGATTTTCTATTCATTAGTATTACAATGCTAAAGTTTTTATCATAAAAGCTTGCATCTATGCCTTCTAATGAACAAAAACAGTGTAGCAACACTAAAACTTCAAAATAACAAGACCTTTTGAGCTATACCTGATCTGGAGCACGCTTGGATGGAACAGGAACAAACTCATCTGCAAGTTTTAGGTCATCATCATATCCAAATTTTCTCAAGACGGCCCAAGTTGTCTCAAGACGTCCTTTCTCAATGAAAAGAGCATGAAGAAAAAGGAACCCACTGAGGGTAAGACCAATATCATTGATACCATCTGGTAGCTTCTCATGTACAACCCTTTTAACTCCCACAATTTCAGCAGGCTGTAGTGGAGCATTAAAACATTTAACCTGTTTATGGCAGTTACCAAATGTCAAACTTCCAAATAAGTGACTGAAAAACGATTGGAAGACACGCAACAGAAAAGGGAAAAAGGAAACCTGGAATTCATTCAGTTCTGAATCATTGAGGGCACCGTCCATGTCATGATCGCAAAGAGTAAATATCCTTCTCAAAGCGCTAATGCATCGGGGTTGCAGAGCTTGCCTTTCTTGATCAAACAACGGGGTTGTTGGATGAAGGACTGCCTTTTGAGCATAATAAAATACTTCCGGAACCTAATAACAAGTAATTTACAATGTTCAAACATCAAGATCTCTTAACTTTATTTAACACAGGAAACAAAAGTGTTTAGGCATCTGAATATACCTGACTATTAGTGGCTGCTGAACACTCAATGCAAGTCTCGATTTCCCTAAATTGCTGCATGATAGGTGACATCACCTGCTCCATGCTCATTGGCGCCTGTTCGTCTTGCAAATCTAACTTGCATCCCACCAGAATAACCGGCACCTTCACCTAACCATTTCCAATTTTCTCATAATATCAATTAACTAAATAATTGAAAATCAACAAGGAAAACAATGCCATGCCAGTAAAGCAATAGAATTACAAACCCCCAAGTGACGAAGCTCAGGCAGCCAGTAAGTAGAGAGACGACTGAGCGTCATCGGTTGATCACAGGCATAAGTTAACACCACCACATCAGCCCGCTTCAATTCTTCATTGCGCTTACTACTATTCTCCAAGCTAAATATATTTTATCAACACAAACTTCAATCAAAAACAGCTATTTTCGTTTTTTCTTGGCAAAAAAGAAATTGCAATTTTCGTTCTTAGTGTGTATGTATAGACATACCTGGAAGAGGTATCGATGACGGTGAGGGGAACGAGATCGTTGTACAAATCGGCGGGGAGGCGCGTCGGCGGGAGCACAGGAGGGACGTTTCGGTCGAAGGCTTCGGTGGCCACTGCTGAGATCAAGGTCGACTTGCCAGTACCACGGTCACCGGCGACGACGACTCGGACGCCGGTGCGTTTTCCGCCATAGATACCTGTTGTTGACATCTTCGTCTTGGGCCAACAGAAAAGCGCGAACTGAGAGTCGCAGGGTTTTATGTTGAACGTATAAATATCAATGAAGGCGTGAGATTGACGACGGTGTCTGAGCTGCCGTTTGAGTGATGATTTGTTAGTTTGGCGACAAGTCACTTTTCATTCCATGGTTTTAATTTTGGCAATTTGAACCTTGTATTTTGATTCTATCACAGTTCAAAGACAGATCTTGTATTTCAACAAAAATAAAAAAGATATGTCTTGTATTTTGATTCTATCATAATTCAAAAACATATCTAAACTTATGTACAATTGCACAACAAGTATTTTTGCTCACTACTTTAACTCAAAGTGTACCATTATTACTATTCTTAACCCTTGACATGTGTCCATAAGCATAACCATAGTTCCATAAATACAAAGCAAAAGTTAATTATTGTTAAGTCCATGAACACGTGTTAAGCGTTGAGAATGATGATAATGATACACATTAGGTTAAACTGGTGCGCAAAAATATTTCATATATTCATTATATATATACATATTTTAGATGGAATATAGGATGAAATTGTATGAAAATTTAGATGTCTCTTTAAATTGCGAGAGAATCAAATTACAAAGATTAAATTGACAAAATTAAAACTACATACATATACCAAATAAAAAAATCAACAAATTATAGAGACCAAAAATGATGTTAATTTTTGTCTTACTGTAGTTTTCAGCCCAGTTTAATTCTTCTTGGCCCAACAAAAGCTCAATGGCTCTTGTGTCCAATGCCCAAGACTTCGACGTCGAGAGTTGAGGGTCTTGAGACTGGCTGGCATAGGGGTTCAAGAACTGAAGGAAGATGTTAATTCGAACCCTGCGGAGCTCCATCGCCGCCGTCCGCCACTTCACGGCGGAGGCGCATGTGGAGACGAAGGCGGCGACCGCCAGCGTGGAGAAAAGCTCGAGCGGTGGCCGAGACACGCTGGGAAGGAGACTTATGAGCCTGGTGTTTCCAAAACGCAGCGCTGTGATTGCCATACGGAAATGGAAAGAGGAAGGGCACAAGGTGCGCAAGTATGAGCTCAATCGCATCGTTCGTGAGCTTCGCAAGCTCAAGCGATACAAACACGCACTCGAGGTTGGTTTGTTTAACAAAAACCCTTGTGTTTATGCTCTGTTCAAGTTAAAGTTTTAATCTTTGGTTTGCTCTTGATGCTTTTACTTAGTTGTAGAAAGTGAGAAGTACTTTTAGGATTGATGGTGTTGGGGGGTTTTTTATGCATGATTGAGTTTGCGTAAATGGTCTGAGTTGATAGGTTTAAATGAGTGTATATTGTTACAGAGCATATAGCAATTTGTTACCCAGTCAAATTTGCTTTAAGCATTTGAAGGTGCAAGCTATTTGAATTCTGTTGAAGTTGAATTGGTGAAGTGAAAATTGGAATGCTTTTGGTCTGGTTGATAATGTTGGTCTTACAGAAGTACTTTTCCAAGTGTCCAGCTTTTAGTATTTTTGTTTAGGAATTATAATGAAGGTGTGCTGGTGAGTATTCCAACTCTCAAGAATGCGCTCCAGGGGATAATTGAATGTGCATATGGAGTGATTGTAAAATTTGTTCAAGAAAACCTTCAAGTTAATGTGGCTCTCGAGAGGGCTATTGTTTTCCTGTCTTCTGTTTTCATTCATGGGCAGTGATATAAGTTTCAGCTAACTTTTGTAAAGTTGAACATGATCTATAAGTTTGTATTAAAAAAGGGGTTGTGTAAATATGGAATTGATATGTATTCTCTCGCGGTTGCAGTCTGCTAGAATATTCAGTTTGGTGACCCTAGGCCTTTCTGCTAACTTTTTCCCTTCCATTTTCCTTATCAATTTCTTATATGTTGGCTTCTCAAATAAATCTAGTTGGATGTTTCATAACTTATTGAGCTTTCCGGGAAATTGTTTCCTTTTCAACTGGCCTCCTATTTTAATTTTGAACATTGTTTATGCAGATATGTGAATGGATGACATTACAACAAGATATGAAGCTACTACCAGGTGATTATGCCGTTCACTTAGACTTGATTGCAAAAGTTCGTGGCTTAAATAGTGCGGAAAAGTTTTTTGAGGATCTTCCTGATCAGATGACAGACCGCCCTACCTGTACAGCTCTTCTGCATACCTATGTGCAGAATAAATTGTCTGACAAAGCAGAAGCTCTGATGGCAAAGATGTCACAGTGTGGTTACATGAAGCATCCCCTTGCTTATAACCACATTTTGTCCTTGTACGTTTCCAATGGGCAATTTGACAAGGTTCCAGAAGTAATTCAGGAGTTGAAGAGTAATACTTCGCCAGATGTTGTTACTTACAATCTGTGGTTAACCGTTTGTGCTTTGCAAAGTGATGTTGAAACTGCAGAAAAAGTTTTCCTTGAGTTAAAGAAGGCAAAGCTAAATCCTGACTGGGTTACCTTTAGTACGTTAACCAACTTGTACATAAAAAGTTTGCTGACCGAAAAAGCAGCAGTTACCTTGAAGGAGATGGAGAAAATAGCATCTCGGGAAAATCGAGTTGCATATTCATCCCTGGTCAGCCTGCATACAAACATCGGCGATAAGGATGGTGTTTGGCGAATCTGGAAGAAAATGAAATCATGTTTCCGCAAAATGAATGATGCTGAGTACACATGTATGCTATCTTCGCTTGTGAAACTCAAGGAGTTTGAAGAAGCTGAGAAACTCTATACTGAGTGGGAGTCTGTTTCTGGGACTCATGATGCCAGGGTTTCAAATATACTTCTTGCAGCGTATATCAACAAAGACCAAATGGAAATGGCTGAAACATTTCATAATCGCATGGTGCAAAATGGCATAATGTCTTGTTACAGTACTTGGGAGCTTCTTACATGGGGTTTTTTGAAACAAAAACATACGGAAAAAGTGCTAGATAATTTTAAGAAAGCTGTTGGTAGTGTGAAAAGATGGGATCCTGACAAAAGATTGATTGGAGAAGTATTTAACAGGCTCAGGGAGGAAGGCAATATACAAGGGGCAGAGGAACTATTGGTGTTTCTTCGGAATGCTGGTCATGTGAGCACTGAGATATATAATTCACTTCTAAGAACTTATGCAGAAGCTGGTAAAATGCCACTTATAGTTGCAGAAAGGATGGAGAAGGACAATGTTCAGTTGGATGAAGAGACTCGCAGACTTATAAAACTGACTAGCACAATGTGCGTGAGCGAAGTTCCTAGCATACGCTCTTGAATGCAAGTGCGATATGAAATTTACTTCCAGAAATTAGTAGAATTTGTTGTTTTTCAGCTAACTTTTTGTAGCCATAATGGTTTACTTATATGATGCTTCAAATTATGGATTGCATTTGTTTTCTTGATCTTTGAATTTGCTTGTTTATGTTGGCTGGATAACAAGAAGGTGGGATTTGAATGTGATCAACAAAGAATGCTGTTCATTGTTCTGAAACCAAATCTATATATAAGTAGCTTCTTTTCTTTTCCTTTTTTCTTTTTTTTGGGTTTTATGGGCAGAAAGTTTTGCAGTTTACCTAATGGATTTCGAACAGTTTCTGGTTCAACAAGCAGTTTGACTGATGAATATGGGCAGTAGAGCTGTAAATGTATGTCAAATAAGGGGATGATTAATTGGGTCAATGATCTTTACACCAGCATATATTTGTTTCAATCAAGCTAGGTCTTCCTTGACCTGCCAAACCCAACTGAACTGCCATTTCTGTTGACCTAGCACTTTGCAATCTTTATGGGTTGGGGCTGGCTGACCCACTTTAATTTTGTCGGATTCTTTTAGAGCTGAGCTTTCAACCAAAGCTATACTAACAGTCCCTCCATCTTCCATTGATTGCAAAGTTCACAAAAAATAAAACAGATAAAATTAAGTATTTATCAATAGATACAATGTAATTATAAAATTATTTACAAACTGTGTTAAGATTATATACAAGCAATTGAACTATAAATACTTACTTAAAATGTGTAAACTTGAAATTTCACATTATAACCTAAAAGTAAAATAAAGAGGACAGACATACTGCCCAATCAATTGACCTAACTCGCATCTGCTAAATCAAATTATACTTTAATTTAATGTGTCTTCAAAATGACAAATACCCAAGAGCTTTGGTTCCCAATAATTATCATACAAAAATAAGATAATATATACAAAACCTAACTTTCATATATTTGCTTGTGTACAAGTGGAACCCACTTTCCTAAACCATACTCTGAACAGATGGACTGATGGTAGCGTTGGTAAGGTAGTTAAGAAGAAGAGGCACTGTATACATACGTATGAAAAGTGGTAGACTTAATTCGAGTGTGGTTTATTTTGTATGTTAAAAATTCTGACCAAAATTTAAGGGGAAAAAAAACCTTAAGAAACAAAAACAGGTTATGGTGGAAGGAGCCAACATCAGAACGTTACGTGAAGAATAACTGCAACGACCAAATAGGAAGAGGGGTTTACCGAACCCAACCCAACCCAACCCACGTCCACGTCCACGTCCACGTCCCACTTAAACCTATACACACCAAATTACGTAAATGCCCATCTTTTTATCAGAAAACTACATGAACCCAATTATGATATATTTGGCTACGGGTCAGACCCATTTTCCTTGTATAATGACCTTTACCCCTCCTGTGGATACTTGATTTTAGAGTTTTTTAATTTTTAATTTTTTTTTAATACAAGCGATAGTTTAATTTACTGGGAAACTCAAATTTGGATGCAAAGGAATGCGCTCTATGTCATAGATTTTTATTAAGAAACATAAGATTTGTTGGATGGTTGACTATGTAGACATTGACTTATTTAAATCGATATATGAAAATAAGTTTAAATTAATTCAATCTACGTGATGATGAACTCGAATTTAGGTGCAAAAAAGGGGTAAACTTTTACTCATAAATCCAAAATTTGTTGACATTGACTTGCTTAGACCAATGTAGGAAAGTAACTTTTGATAGATAAGGTTTGATATTAGTGAGTAAAAGTCAAAATAATTTAGAATTTGGATATAAATAAAACAGTCAACCACAGAGTTTAATTTGAAGTTAAATACCAATTTATACGCACAAACATGGAAGATAGTTGGAGTATTTAATTTTCAAATTTCCAATCATGCATGGATTATAGGGTTAATCATCATAAATCAAACAAATTGTATTTGACCGGTGAAGGTCAAAGTGGTCATTAAGGAAAATCCAACCCGCAGAGAACCCGGCAAACCGCATCTTGGTTTTTGTGCGTAATTCTAGTCGTAAACTAGGGTCAATTAATAAATTTTAATTTGTTAAGAACTGCTCTGGCATAGTCTCGCAGTTGAGGATTTAGCAAAGACGCGACCCCAAACGACGACGTCTCGTGAAATATCTAAAAAGAAAACATATTTACACGCGCTTTTAGAGAGAGAGAGAGAGAGAGAGAGAGAGAGAGAGTTAACTTAGTTTTCTCACACATGAGACCTTGGCTATGAATTATAGGATTTTCTCTCTCTTAATTTGGTTATGTTCCTGAGAGAGAGAGAGAGAGAGAGTGAGTATTTAGTTGCGTTGCAGGTTAGAAGTTGGAGCTCACAATCACAATTCGCAACCCCCTCTCTCTCTCTCTCAAGTGAAATAAAATCCTCTCTCTCTAATCTCTATCTGTGTCTCTCTGTATATTTTTCCATGGCTGCTAAGGAAGGAGAGGTTGGTTTTGAAGAAGGAATGTTGTGGCTGCCGCAACAAGTTCTAGACGAAGCAATATGTGACACAAAGGTTGATATATACACATATAAATATTCTAAATTCTTCCATCTTTATATTTTTGTTTTGGTTCACTCCAAAATTTATTGAGTTTGTATTATTTGTGTTTGATTTCTTAATTTGAAGACATACTCGAGGCTTCAAGTGCAGCACCACCACCAGCATCATCATCATTTGGTACGTGCTTTCTCTCTCTTTTGTTTTTGTGGTTTTTTTTGTTCTGCAACAATGTCTGTGAAAATGGTGGAGACGAAGATGGAAATTTTGACGCTGGGATATTTTGGAGATTCTGGTTTTTACTACCGCGACACTTTTGACATGGTTTTGGGGAATAGTAGATAGGATCAATAGATAGATTTTTATTATTTAGTTTTTGTCAAAGGACCAATTACAAACCTACTCTTTTTAATTTATCAGAATTACAAACCTACTCATGATACTACATACTTACTCAACAGCCAAGATTAGGTTATACATAATTGGTCTAGATCTACCTAATTATTTCAGGAGACTAATATATAGGTATTGGTCATTTTCGTTGTTGAAAAATAAATTAACAAAAAGACTTGATCAAAACATCTCTATAGAGACTAGAGTAAGTACACCTTTAATTTGGTTAATTCACTCATAAACAATAAAATATGGCTTCCTTCATTTGTAAGCTATATATATTAATTCTCCTATGTTGACGTTCGGAAGTTATTATTGTGAGAATCCCTTTTTTTTTTTCTACTACCCCTATTTGTTTGCCTCTCTGTTTACAATGACATTCGCACGATAATAATGTGCGGACATCCAGATGAGAGAATAATAACTGATATACAAAAATTCTCCTATACGTACGTCCATATGTTATTACATATGTAGATGTCATTGTAATAAGGGAAGAAAGCAGGAAGGCATAGTGGAAAAACATCCGAACACTCGCATAGGAGAAAATCTCTATATATATATGTGTGTGTGTGTGTGTTTTTTTTTTCTTCTACATTTTGGTAATGGAAATCTTATTGAATAAATGATTGATGAATTTAGTTATAAACCCGTCCCAATACATTTAATTGCCATTCTGATATTTTTGCAACTAATTCACTTCAAAGCATACTTGGTTCTTAAGAAAAATAAAAATATACATAGTTGGAGGAGTGTTTTGGGGAAGTAATTAATTTAGAGGTATGATGTGGGGGGGAGCTACCATGTTTTCTTCGAAAATTCCCAAACCTGCCTTAGGGATTAAGTAATGTCGACTTTAAAATAAACACACTGAAATAAAAAATTAAAACAAATTAAGTTATCTTAGTGTTTCTTTGACTAAAATGTGTAATTGTCACCAATTGCAGAATTCAAAACCTAGCTCAATTAGACCTCATCATCATAGACCAAAAGCCAATGTCAACTGGTCATCTGGAGGGCCTGGAATGCAAGCTATTTTCCTGGATTCTTCTAGCCAAAGATCATGTGGCACTGGCGTTTTTCTTCCTCAAATAGCAGGCTCCAACTCCCACAAAACTAAAAAACCAGGTTCGCAAGTTTGCTTCGATTAAAATACTATATATATATATATATGTGTGTGTGTGTGTGGGCGCTTTCAATTTTCTATTGAAGTACTTATATATTAATTTTTGCATGCAGCTTGTGCTCCTGTTCTTCTGCCCTCCCGTGTGGTTCAAGCTCTCAACCTCAATGTTCATTCCCTAGGCCTCCAAATTTCACCGCGACAAGGTTAATTTTATGCTCTCACTTAATTTGAACTATGTATATTTTTAATAAATGAATTTATTGCTAAGAAATTAGGGTTTCTTTCAGATGCTAAGGATCATAAACGAAAAGGCGACGATTGTATTTCGGCTCATAATAAAAGTGGAAATAAAGATGTTCCATCGACTCAATGCTACATTATTTCTCAAAATCCAAGTTCTTCCCCGGAGTTATTTCTTCCCAAGGAATGGACATACTAGGGGGAATGTGTGGAACAATTATACATGTACACAAGAGAAACTCGTCATAAAAGGCTAATCTCTCCTAGCCATATGATTGATGTGCTTTAAATAATCTTGATCGTGTTATATAGCTTTAAATAATATCAGCTCGATGTTCCGTTTTATACAAGTGCTTTGATATATATATTTTAATGGTTTATATGTATAATGTGTACACTTTAAATTGATATTGCAACTCTACAAGGTCCGATTGCAGGAGTAGATAACTAGTATGGTTGTAGGAAATCCAACAATAAACGGCTAAACTATTTATAACCCCCCCAAAAAAAAAAACAAAACAAAACTCCGAGTATAGCCGCCCGGCTATACTATTTGTGGAAAAGAAAAGAGAAGAGGACCCCAGCGGTTAGGAGCCCACGTGCCCAAATACGTATAGCCGCGCGGCTATACTGTTAAAAAACTTTTAAAAACCGAGTATAGCCGCACGGCCATACCTTTTATGAAAATAAAAAAAGAGAGGACCCCATGTGTCAAAATAGGATCCCAGTACATATCGACTATACTATTTTTTTTATAAAAAAATTTAATTGGAAAAACAAATTCGCGTATAGCCGGTCGGCTATACTATTTGTACCAAAAAGAGTACAGCCGTGCGGTAATAATATTTGTGTTAAAACGTTCAGGCGGCCACATGTCCGTATAGCCGCCCGGCTATACTGTTTTTTTAAAATAAAAAACCTGAGTATAGCCGATCGACGATACTAATTGGACTCATCTTGCGATTAGGTGCCAACGTGTCGACAGAAGTATAGCCGTACCGCTATACGGTTTTTAAAATAAAATAAAAATCGAGTATGGCCGAACGGCTATACTAGTTATAGATACATATATATATATATATATATATATATAAAAGGGAATAGATTACCGTATTGATTGGGCGCCCACATGTCAAAATAAGTATCACCGCTGCTATACTTTTTAATAAAAAAAAGAAAAAAGAAAAAATGACCTCCTAGTTGCATTAGTTTATACTTTATAGATATTAATTTGCTATTTCAACTTTACAAACTAGTAAAACTTAGTTGCATAATAAATTGTTTAGTAATCATTAACAATTTTAGTAAGTTCCCCCTGAAAAGGTCGATCACTTTATAATTTTCTAATATAATATATTAGTTATTTAAATATATATTATTCTTATTCAATAATTTGTGAAAATATGTGTATAATACGTAAATTAAATGCCCTTTTAACTTCCCACTAAATTACTCCATTTCCCTTTAAATTTTCATTAAATTATCAAAGAATTTTAAATAAAAATGGTTTGATATGATGTTATCCGGAACACACCAAACACAATATAAAAATAATATGATATGATGTTACTGACTATTTATCCAGAACAACACCGAACGCTTTATCATATTATGAATAAACAATCAGTATTCTCCGACAGAAATTAATCGATACAGTCTGACGTACCAAACAAGCCCCATTTGTATAAATACACATACTCTCATATAGGACACTAACTTGAATATTAAAGGTCATGCCTTAACTAACTCATGATTTAATGGTATTTCTCCTTCGAATATTGAAAGAAGTACTAAATTTGAATGCCCACTTATTCTATGTTTCGTTGAATCTATAAACAAACACATAAACTTGTAGTAATATTTACACCAGTCCGGCTTTGTACACAATGTTATGTTTAGAGTGTAGAATCATCATTTAGAGCTTAAACTTCAAGTTTCGAGGTTGAAATTAGTTAATTGATGTGATTTTAGGTTTTGAGCAGCACCAAAGCTCTATGATTATTCTACATGTCTAAATAGAAATCTCTGTGCAACACTATTCTCAACCCTTTAAAACATTTGCCCAACTACAGCTGACCACGTCAGCATTGACCCGCGCCGACTTACTATAGTCCAATAAGGAAGCGCTTCATATTGACGCAACATGAGCAATTAAGCACAAGATTGCTACCCTTAAAGATGAGCCTTTTCTAGCTTAAAGAACCGAACAGTCCCGCTGCTCTCTACTGTTCACAGTCCCGCCATGGAAGCCACTATTCTCAGCTCGCGACGCTTCCATCACCAACTCTTCCCCTCAAAATTTCGAGGTCAGTTTTTCGTTTGGTTTCTGGGAAAACGCACAAAAATAACTGAAATGATGAAAACTTCGGAATATTATTAGGTTTCGTGTTTTGGTAACTCAATCTAGTAACTTCTTCGAGCTATGTATCGAAAGGATTTTCTTGTTCATTTTTGATTGGGTGATTGTTCTAGCTTCAGTTGAAGTTTCTGCGTCTTCTGATAGGGCTTCATGTTCAATTACTTGCAGGTGCAATTTCAGGTTGCGATATTCAAATTTGTTGTTTGCCCCTTGCTAGAACCAGCCATGTTTCCCTTAAGACAAACCCTATACAATCTTGCACAAGAAATTTCGTGTTGCCAAACAGGCCTTTCCCGTCCAAAGCAAACAAGAGAGTCTCTGCAAAGTTCTCAAACCAGTTCCTAAATGATTATACAAACGTCGAGGCTACGCCTCCAGAGTCTCTAAATCTTGAAGTTACTCCACTAAGTACCGAAGATGGCACAGAAATCTCCAAACAAAACGACATTGACAAAGCAAATGCCGAGCAAGCAAGGCCTCTAACATTTAGAAATCGGTTTCTGGATTTTGTGCGCTTAAGTTCAGTCCTTAACAGTGCTGCTGAGTCATTCTTCAAGAGTGAGATTCGGCGGAGGTTATTTGTGACGGCAGTACTAATAGTGATAAGTCGTGTCGGTTATTTCATTCCTCTGCCTGGATTTGATAGAAGGTTGATCCCTCAAGATTACCTGAGCTTCGTATCGGGATCTGTTGGTGAGTAATTGACCATTGTTCCTCCATGTATATGGTCATTTGTGTAAAATTATCGGATAGTGATTCGTGTTGTTTTCGGGCAGATGAACTTGGCGATTTCACAGCAGAGCTTAAAATGTCCTTCTTCCAGCTTGGAATCAGTCCTCAAATTATAGCATCGATTATTATGCAGGTTTATTGCTTTTCTTCATCTATTTCATGTGTATTTATGTTAACTAAAATGATATTTGTCTAAGTATTTTAATCTTGAGAGAAAATTTGATATGTATTAAAATATGATGATATATTGAGAATCTCAAATTCGATGTATAGGTACTTTGTCATCTTGTTCCCTCCCTAGTGAAGCTGCGGAAAGAAGGCTTAGATGGTCACGAGAAGATTAAGAGTTATATGTGTGTCTAGTTATTCATCTCAAGCAGTGAGCCAAGTTCTTGTTGCACAATTTGATTGTGACTTTTACTTTAGATCATTTTTTCCTTTCAAGATTGTGAACCTTATGAGCGTTTTATGTTTATTCAAGATGGTGGATGTCTCTTGGCTTTGCAATTGTGGAGGCCATCATACTGGCTTGTTACTCACTTCCATATTCAATCTATGCGGCTAGCTACAGGTAATGCAGCAATTATATCATACTTTTCAACAATAACTTTGATTTCAAATGTATCTATGTAACTTTGAGATTTTGCAGGGTCAAGCATGTGATGGTGACAAGTATGTTACTGGTCTGTGGTGCGATGACAATGACTTGGATTTGTGATACCATCTCAGAATCTGGATTTGGTACTTTATACTTGATATTTTGGTTACTTGATTGGAATTAATATCATCTTGATAATATTCCCCAAGTCTCATTTTGTTTTTCCAGTGAAAGAAGTTTACTTTTCATAACCACAAGTCACTCTGTCAAGCTCGGTTACTGTTTAGCATGCCTGATTTAACTAATGTTTTTACATAATTGAAATTTATGAATGCATTATCATTTCACGTATCCCATGCCTTGTAGCAGAAGAAAGGTCCACAACTAGGAGCTTTGACTCAATAAGTTTACTGACCATAATGTTTTTCCTGTGGACTAATATAATAAGATGATGTTCTTTATCATAATTATTTATACCTGTTGATGAGTTTTGGCTACCATGCGCATCATTCTCTCCATAGTAAGTATTATATGAGTCCTTGTGGAATACTTACTACTTTGTCATGGTGATGTTAATACATATGTGAGGTTTTTATATCATAGTATCAATTCTGATCTGGTTATTCCTCTTTAGAAGAAAATTCTTTGTTCATTCTTTAATCTTATTGCAGATATTCTCTATCTTCTCTGACTGGGCATTCATATTTCAGGTCAAGGTTCATCTCTAATCATATGTGTGCAAATATTGACTGGCTACACAGAGACACTATACAAAATGTTGTCTCAGCTCTCAGGTATGTGATGTAATTAATTCCATTAATATACCCCATATTAGGGCAAAATTAATATCCCATCAGATGTTAGGTTTTATTTTGTAACTTTGTGTGTCATATCATCAGTACTCTGTTCAATACCATTTAACTTCAAGTTTGTTGTAAGTTTACTGGTTTCATGCTTTTTATTGCAGGAGGTTCTGTTAGTTGGGGTCCGTACTTGCTTGCAGTATTGGGCGTTTTCACTGTAGTCACTATGTGGGCAGTTGTGGTAACTGAAGGTTGCAGGAAGATAAAGCTGCAGTACTATGGTTTTAAGCTTGCTTCTTCTGCAAGGTAATACATTCGTTACCATTCTGATGGCTGATGATCGTTTGTAGTGAAAGAAACTGCACAATGCATGCATTTTCTGTATTCATGTGGTGTTATTGATTATGAAGATGGTTGTTCTTTATACTAATGTTAGATGTATAGCAGATATTGCTTATAAACTGATCTTTGTATCAACTAACAGCCTAGTAGAAACAATTCACACCATCTTCTATAATTTGAGCTTTGAAAATATATATATTTGGATAATTATGTTGGCTGACATTATTTTTTGGTCTGATGTGTTTTGGACAGAGATGACTCGCCAATTACTGAAGTGGAGCCATATATCCCTTTTACCATTAACCCATCAGGAATGCAGCCTGTTCTCACCACCACTTATCTCTTGTCATTTCCGAGTATTCTTGCAAGGTCACAATTTCTTAACTTGCAGCATTATTTTAAGATGATAACTCATTGTCCGTGTCTTTAATGAAATCAAAAGAGTGCTCATTTCTCTGCTGACCCAAAAAAATTTCCTTAAGTATTCGAACTACACCTATTCTTTTCCATTTTAAAGTTTGCCATTACAACTTTCTGATATTGTGGTTTGTTGGCAGTCTTCTTGGTTCGCCTTTCTGGGAGCATGTTAAGGAGATATTGAACCCTGACAATTCCATTGGTGCAGGGCCTTGGGTGTACTACTCAATATATGCGTTTTTTGTCTTCTTATTCAATATATTTGACATTGTAAGTTTCTTCTTAACCTTGTATGTAATTGTTCTAGAATCACATTGCTTTCCGTTCATCAAGCTCCAGGATACAATATATTAAAGAATATTTTAAAACTGAGCTAGTAAATTATATAGTTTTAGAGCGTTTCATTATTATCATGACATTTCTCTCCTTCTGTACCTTAAATTTCTATTGTCACAACGTTTCTCTACTTACAGCATTCAGTTTCTGATGCTTATATGTCTGAATATGAAGCTATAATGTCTGGCAATAGATAGAGCTGTCTATTATGGCTAATAAATTTTGCCGCCTTGGTTCAAAACTCGATACTAAATATGAGATTTGTACATTTATATGTTAATAGAAAGTTTTTAGCAAGTTATACTAGAATCCCCAGCATGTAAATGCTAAGTTAGATTTGAACTTTCAAGATATAACTGCACACCAGTCAGTCACCTCCTATGGGGACAAATAATGCGGCTGCAGTTGACAAATGCAATGAGTACCGAAGCTTGTGAAATGTTTTTGAATGTATATTAAGATTATGTCATGTTACTGTATTGTTTTATTTTTGGTCAAAAGAGTTACCGTATTGTTTGATGTTGAGGTAGAGATAATCTGTTTCATTGTTTGCTGTTTTAAATCAATAATGCCTGTCCAGGCCAACTTGCCCAAGGAAATTGCTGATTACTTAAATAAGATGGGTGCTAGGATACCAAACATAAAACCTGGGAAGGCTACAATTGAGTACCTTACAAAGATTCAGGCATCAACGCGTTTTTGGGGTATGATTCTCCCTTGATTTGGTCTACCTGTCATTTTAACGTAATTCCATTGGCCCTCATTGACTTTGTTTGCTTTCTTTTTGCTGTCCTGTGGTGGAACTTTGCAGGTGGGCTGTTGTTAAGTATCTTGGCAACAACGTCAAGCATACTGGATCATTATTTACGCAATATCAATGCAGGATTTGCAATTGGGTTGACGTCAGTCCTAATCATAGTAAGTAACATAGGAAGTATGATTTCCTGAAATGCTTTATATTTTATGCAACTCTTGCAAGTAGTTCTGACCATTAATTGTGCAGGTGGGTTCTATAATCGAACTTAGAAGATCATATCAAGCATATAATGTAATGCCAAGTTTAAGTAAAGCCTTAAGCCGGTATGGTGTATAACTTGCAAACCGGATGTGCCTTCTAGTCTTGAGGTGATGCTCTATCACTTATAAAACTGATAAATAAATTATGCATAGATGGTGACGCTAACGAGAATTTTCTCTCTTCGTTTTGGCAGCACTGGAATTCCTGGACTGATGAAACACCTCAGCAGAAACCGGAAAGGGTTATGGCATCACGATATGGTTTGAGGGGTCCTGGATGCTTAGAGTAACAGCTAATGATACTACTTCATTTGGCAAATACGTAGCGAAGGCTCGCCACTTGCATGGTTTCTGTATCAAACGGAAAAGCATCGACGACAGGGTTTCATGCATTGTAGAGCACACTGCTTTCGTATCGAGGATAGGATACACAGATTCCATTTAGATGCTACTTAATTGTAACACAAAACATGTGTAACAAACTCCAATATACTCTTTGGGTATTAATACATTGCAGGTTTTTTTTTTTTTTTTTTTTTTTGCCACTGGGTGTTTGCCTTTACATCAATTCACAACAATATTTTGACTTAGGCCAAAAATAAAAACAACTAATGTTTTGTTTTCGTTAAGGAAAATATTTTGTTCCTTAAATTTTCCAAAGTTACCACGTACACGGTACTGGAATTGGATTTTCCACGACCCGGCCCGCTTCCTCTTATTCTGGGCCAGTTGGGCCGAACTACAAAACCCGGTTTCGTTCGAAATTTTGAATTTCAGATAGTTCGAGCCTTGAGGTGTGTGGGAGGACGGAGATCAGCGATGGAGATCGCGGCGGACTCTCTGGACGGCTCTGTGATCTTCCACGCCATTAACGAAATCTCAGGTTTCGTGCTTTACATGCACCAGCAAATCCCTTCGTAAGTTTTCCCCAACTTTCTGAGTTCCCAAACAAATCAATTTCTTCGCACTCATGCAAAATATTTGATCCAATTTTTACAGATTGTTGCAGGATATTACTCTGGAATTCGATTCGCTCTGTTCTGAGTACAAGGATTCGGTATGAGATTCCGAGACTGCAATTTCATCAACTCTTTCTTCTTCGGCTCTGAATTCTTTGCCCTAATTTAGAATCTGTGAGTTTCAGGAAATGGCTCTTCACCAGAACGAGGTGAAGCCAACGCTTCGGAGAAAGCACGCCGGCCAAATGAGGGAAGCCAAGCGCGGGATTCGAAGATTCCAGAAGCTGATGCGTCAAGTTTCTGATCTCCAAACTGCGCTGAAGCTGATGATCAGTGAGGTTCCTCAGTTCCAAGAAGCCATTTTGGTGATCGGAGCGAGTCCGCTACGGCCTCATCATGTCTATGAGTTGAGCTTTTCAAGCGCAAGCGCTGTTCCTAGTAGCAGTGGTGAACATGAACATGAAAAGGAACTTGATTTCGGCAAAAGCAGAGCGGCGGAAGTGCTTTGTAGAAAAGCGATTCGGGGGCTGATCTCAAAGGGTGCTGGGTGTGCTTCTTATTCAGGGCGTTCCAAGTTGTTTCTGTTGGTGAAAGCTCCCCCTTGTCTCAATCTGCCTCTGCATTTTCTTCCCAAACGTGATTTCAGATACAGCAACAAGGTACATGTTCTTACCCAAAATAGCAGGCAATGTAGTTTCATTATTTCATATTAAATCATCAACTATCATACAACTCGCTTATGCATATTTATTTAAACAAATTGCAGATTGTGCCTTTAAGACTAAAGATTAAGAGAAAAACCCAAGATCATAACCTGGATGCTCTTCCAGTTTCTTCTGAAACTGGCAGTTCTGATGGGTTGGTTGAGTCTGCTCCAAATGATTTTATATGGTATGTTGCTTTCCAATTGCATACATTTCAATGTGTTCGTATTTGTTCTGTTGCTTGGCTTATGCACAGGTCATATCTGGTTTGTTTGATGGTTGCAGGTTCCAATGTCGGCATGTAATCAAGGGCCTGGCATCTAACACACCGACTGAAGCAGAATGAATAGACCTACATTGTGCATACAATAATTCCTCATGTCTTATGGAGATTATATCATAGTTTGACTGTTGTAACATTCACCTCTATTCAGGGCTTGCGTTTAGGTTTCATGGATTTCGAAGATTACGGATTTTCATTTAGCTATATAGTTCGATTATGTTTGCATCAATGGGGAAACGGGAATTTGAACTTGGAAGATGTTTCAAAATTAAGAAGAGGAGTATCACTAGACCAAAACAAAGTGCTAGTTGGAAAGAAAAATATTTCATGTTCTTAGAGAAGGAACAGCTTTTTTCATTCACTGATCCGATCCAATCCAACCGAAGGGGTGTTGTGCTCACTTATTATCAGTCTCTCTTTCAAACATGTGAGAGTGACAATGAAAACTTGAAAGATGGTCACTTGATAACACAAATCAGGCAGTAAAAGTCAATTATATCCTTGCTAAGATTGTCATATAAGGAGATAATTTTTATATCTTAATAAGTTATTTAAACGAAAATATTGGAAAAGATACAGAACACTCACAAATATACTTATTAAATATAAATTATACATGTAGAAAGAATCTAAACATTAAATTAAATCGTTACAAAAACCGACATTTTTTCATGTATTTTTTGTTGGACCTTCTCTAAAGCAAGGAGCTAAACCCAAAACTTGGCCCAAGTTGTCATCTTGTCCATTTCTGCTCCGAAAATGCCTAAGATATAAATATGGATTGAAGCCCAATCCGACTCGCTCACGTCTTCGTGATATGGAAGAAGAGTGAGGTCTCGCCGTTTTAATTGTGAAACCGCCAATCTCTGGTCTCAGAGAGAGACACAGAAGATACACAGCAAAACCCAAAACCTCAAAAAACCATGAAGTTTCAAGTAGAAGACGTCACAGTCTACTTCCCATACGACCACATATACCCAGAGCAATATGCATACATGCTCGAGCTAAAGCGAGCGCTGGACGCCAAGGGCCACTGCCTCCTGGAGATGCCCACAGGCACGGGCAAGACCATCGCCCTCCTCTCCCTCATCACAAGTTACACTCTCTCCAAGCCCCAAAACCCAGTCAAGCTCATCTACTGCACTCGCACTGTTCACGAGATGGAGAAGACTCTCGCTGAGCTCAAGGTCCTCCACAATTACCAAGTTAAGCATCTGGGTCCCCAAGCACAGATCTTGGCTGTGGGGCTTTCGTCTCGGAAGAACCTCTGTGTCAACCCAACTGTCTTGGCAGCCGAAAATCGAGACTCTGTCGACGCAGCCTGCCGGAAATTGACTGCCAGCTGGGTGAGAGCCTTGGCCGCTGAGAACCCAAATGTGCCTACTTGTGAGTTTTTGGAGCAGTATGAGAAAGCTGGGTCTGGAGCGGTTTTGCCTCCCGGGGTTTATACCTTGCAGGTACTAGTCACTTCTTCTCATTGATCACTCAATTGTGGGATCTGAATTTTTTTATCTTTCTTTTTGTTTTCGTTTTGGAATCAAGTAATTGCAATTGGGTTTGCTTTATTTTATGTCAAAAAAAGGATTTGAGGGCGTATGGGAAGCAGAGAGGGTGGTGTCCCTACTTCTTGGCAAGGCATATGGTGCAGTTCTCCAATGTGGTGGTTTACAGTTATCAGTATATGCTTGATCCTAAAGTGGCTGGGATTATTTCCAAGGAAATGCAGAAGGAGTCTGTTGTGGTGTTTGATGAGGCCCACAATATTGATAATGTGTGTATTGAAGCGCTTAGTGTTAGTGTGAGGAGGCAGACACTTGAAGGGGCCAGAAGGAATCTCAGTAAGATGCAGCATGAAATTGAAAGGTAGGTGCTTTGCTATTCAGCAATGGTTGGTTATGGATTCGAGCTGTAATTAAGGCTCAAAGTCTTACTTTTTTCTAAAGGCAGAAGCTTCGTAAATTATGCATTGGGTCACTTATCTGCCTCTTTATATTCTATCATGATTTTTTTAAAGTGATGGCTAGATTATGTCTAGATACGTTTGTTTTCAGCTTCTTTCAATTCTTGCCTTCACGTTTGATACAGATTTTCATTTGTTTGCTTGACATGGTAGGTAGGTTCAAGGCCACTGATGCGGATAGATTGCGTAAAGAATACAACCGACTTGTTGAGGGTTTGGCACAAGGAGGAAACCTACCTCGTATGCTGATTGCTCATTCCCATGATTTTTCTTTCATTGAAACTTAAAATTTTTGTTTGATGATTTCTTGAGTTCTCATAACTTTTTCTTTCTATATGTGCAGTCACAGATACTTGGCTTCAAAATCCCGCTCTACCTGATGATATTCTGAAGGAGGCTGTGCCTGGAAATATTCGCAAAGCGGACCATTTTGTGCATGTGTTACGAAGATTGGTCCAGTATTTGGAAGGGCGTCTTGAGACCGAGAATGTTGAGAAGGAAGGCCCAGTTGGTTTTGTTGCCTCTATTAGTACACATGCTGGAATTGACCAGAAAACTCTGAAGTTCTGTTATGATCGCCTACACTCACTCATGATGACGTTGGAAATTACTGACACAGATGAGTTCTTACACATCCAAACAATCTGTGACTTTGCGACACTTGTGGGGACATACACTCGCGGTTTCTCTATTATAATTGAACCATTTGATGAGAGAATGCCGCATATTCCTGATCCTGTTTTGCAGGTTGGTTTTTAGTGGTTTTTTATCTTCGAATTTCATTTTCTATAAAATTGAACCATTTCTAAAAATTGTATTCTGGTCTGCCTCCACACTTACATATCTTATCTGGATACTTTGTTTAAAAACCATTTCTTAACAATTCTTGTAAACTGTGTCCATTCTCATGATACTAATGATTTGATGGTTATGGTCCTAGTTTTCCTTTTGACTTTTACAATATCAGAATTTTTATTGGTAATTTTAAAAAAAGTAGAATAAAATTTTCCTCCAATAGGTTACCTTGCATATGTACTATAGGAGTTCGTCTGCCATTATTTGATCTACTTATACTGCTTCGTTTGGTGGATTGAATGAAGATTTTTCAGTTCTGATCTAGTCTTTTCATATGTGGTATTCCAGCTTAGCTGTCATGATGCTTCTCTTGCCATAAAACCTGTATTTGATCGATTTCAATCAGTTGTGATTACATCTGGAACCTTGAGCCCAATTGATCTCTACCCCCGTCTTCTCAATTTCCATCCTGTCGTCAGTCGAAGTTTTACAATGTCGTTAACAAGAGACTGCATCTGCCCAATGGTTCTTACACGTGGAAGGTATGACATCGACAAAATATTTTTCTTCTTATATTTCTTCTCCCGATTTATTTTATTGGGAAAGTTGTAAACTTTACAAATCACAACTTTTCTTATCAGATCATAACATCTCTATTATATTTAGCATCATAATAGTTTTATAAGACATTGATCCCATTAGTTATCTAAATGTCACTCTGAATCAGTATCCTATGGTATATTTCAGTGATCAGCTTCCGGTAAGTACCAAATTTGATATGAGAAGTGATCTTGGCGTAGTAAGGAACTACGGGAGGCTGCTGCTGGAGATGGTTTCTGTTGTCCCAGATGGGGTTGTATGTTTCTTTGTCAGTTACTCTTATATGGATGGAATAGTCAATAGCTGGAATGAAAATGGAATTTTAAAGGTGACTGCACTATCAATGTCTATTACTTTTGCTGGGTTTCTATGATTTTTTCTGTTGTCCTGTTTTCCAAGTTTGCCACGAAGTTAGTTTTGCGGATAGGTTCTTAGTGCTCCCGTTGTCACAGGAAATAATGCAGCACAAGCTTGTTTTCATTGAGACCCAAGATGTCGTAGAAACTACTTTGGCTCTTGACAATTACCGGAAGGCTTGTGATTGTGGGAGAGGTGCTGTCTTTTTGTCTGTTGCCAGGTGCTGTATCAGTCCTTAAAAACGTTCAAAGTTTCTTATTTCTTATTGTTGATCTCCTAATGGAAATTGCAATTAAACTAAAAAGGATGGAGGGTGGGCTTTCAAGACAGAAATGCACTACTCCGTCTGGAAAGGGCTTTTCCCTCGTGGGGAAAGAGAAGAACCTATCTTTTGCTATTCATTTATACTGTCATCTAAAAATCCATTCATAATTCCATGCCACATGTAATTCAGAACCTATCATTTCAATATTACAATTGATGTTCCACATAGTTCTCTATAATGAAGCTAACATTATTCTTTACTTTCGCAGGGGAAAAGTAGCTGAAGGGATAGACTTTGATCGACATTATGGACGATTGGTGATCATGTTTGGTATTCCGTTTCAGTACACATTAAGCAAGTGAGTGCAAATGATATCTCTTTTGTTTTATGTAGTGAAAAAGAGATTGTGAAACTAATTTTCTGTGGTATGACATATGAGCTATCTTTGTTAACCGAGTTCATAAAGCTATGTTGTCTGTGGTTTGACACTTGAGAGTATTGTTTTGCAGGATTTTGCTGGCGCGGCTGGAATACTTGCGGGATACCTTTCAAATAAAGGAAGGAGATTTTTTGACTTTTGATGCCTTGGTATCATTGCATTGCCTTTTGTATCATCTAAGAATTATTTGCTTGGCGTTTAGTTTATATGTTTCTGATCGTTTTGAGTTCTCTCTAATGGGGAACTTACTGGTGCAGAGACAAGCTGCTCAATGTGTTGGCCGAGTCATCCGGTCAAAAGCAGACTATGGCATGATGATATTTGCTGACAAAAGGTTCATACTCATTTGTTCTTTTTTTATTAATTGAGTTCCAAATTCTTAGATTCTCTAGTGGAGCTTCTAGTTAATCTTTATCTGCTTGAATTTTGGGTGCTTAATTTCAATTTCAGATATAGCCGTCATGACAAGAGATCCAAATTGCCTGGGTGGATACTGTCACATTTACGTGAAGCACACCTAAATTTGAGCACAGACATGGCTCTGCATATAGCACGAGAGGTTTGTCCTTGGTACCGATAACGCACGTTCCTATCTAGATATGGTTATTGGTTAGCCTGAAATATACTTATCAATCAAACCCATATGTGGTATGCTAACAATAGAGCTTTGTTTTCTGTGGTTTGCCTTATAAGTCATGCATTATCTGTTTTATCATTATCTTTGTCCTCCTTTGAGAACTGTGCTAGATAGCTTTGGGACCCAATAGAAGAAGTTTAAAAGGATCGAGAATGGAACATTGAAACACATCTTCATTGGGGTGATGAAGTCCTTTTCTCCTTTTTTAACTGAAACCCTAATCATCTAGTGTTGATGAAGATGATCAAATCTAAATTTCTTCTTGTCGTAGCTTTTTCTGTTTAGTAGAATTTCGTGGGAATCATATTTTTATATTCTAGTATGTCAATCTTATTTATCCTGAATGCAGTTCCTTAGGAAGATGGCTCAACCATATGATAAGGCCGGTAGCGTAAGTGGTAGGAAAACCCTTTTATCCCAAGAAGACTTAGAAAAGATGGGCGAAAGCATCGCTGATGAAATGTTGCGTTAAGGATTCTCTGAATGAAAGTGAAATTCAGTGTGGTTAGTGGGCCGTCCTGTTGCTTGTTCATGATCTACAGCCCTACACACAGATGAGTTTGGCCAGGTCGGGGGATTTTGTTGTCAGTGGTCTGAGAAGTAAACTGTCAGAGCAAGACATAGTGTTACGGTCAAAATAATTGAAGTTTAATTTTCCGGGTGATGGAACTGAAATGGCATTAACGGCTGCTGCGTAGTTGACTTCATGATATTCTGTACAAATTCATAGTCGTGTACATTTTTTGCCTGGTTGTAATTTATAGCTCTGGCTTGGCTACTTGCGCTCAGTTTTGACTAAGAAAATGTTTTACGATGAGTTGATGAAAAGTTCTATCTAATTATCTTCATTTCTTTATAGCCAGCTGATTGGTTCCCCATGGAATTTGAAGTTCTTTTCCATGATTTTGATTTTAGACCATACAAATTGTCAACAGATTCATCCTTCTGAATAAAGGATTGTGACATTAGTTTATGGCGTGTTAAATAACTTAGTCTTGATCATGATCAAAATACTGAATTACATTGTTATATATTCTGCTGGTACCGTATAGTCAAGTTCATAATATTTATGACGGTCCATTTTAAATGAATATGTGCTTACAAAATTCATAGGATAATCATAATTTGATGATCAATGTGATTGGAAAGGGCTTTGATCAAACTTGACAAATACTGTGGTCCGCAGCAAAACATCAAAACTAAACTGGTTTTGGAGTTCTTGTTTAAGATTATCTTGAATGTCACAGAAATATTACATTTGTTAGATTACAGAGGGGAATAAATAATAAACACCCATTAGAAGGAAAAAAAAAAAGAGTGTTGTAAATATTGTACAGTACTGATGCTGCTAGAGCTACTTGCAAATAATTTGATTTTCCCCTCAAAATTCTTTAATTACGTACGCACTAAAAAGATACTAGGAATCAGATTGGGGAATTATTTGATTTATTACCCTCTTCACTTCCGTAATGCTTATTTTCTTGCCATTTACGTTCTCCTTCACCTGAAAAATTAAATTTATTATGTAAAAAAACAAAAAAACTGAATGAAAATAGATTCAATGTTACTATTAATATTGCATGATCGAGAGTATAAATATATGTACCTTGGCCCTCAGCTCAGCTACGAAGAACCCATTATTCAATGAGGACTGGACAACTGTGGTCTCAATTCTTAGCTCTCTTAGAGTTTGCATGATATCAAGCAACAGCCCTTCTCTATACGGGCATTGGAGCTCCAACAACCCGTCACTCTCAATTATCGATACCTCTAGAGAGGTACCCATCACCATAGGTGTCGGTGATGGTTGTGGTGGTGGTGGCGGTGGTGGTGGTGGAGGTGGTGACTCCTCCATCGTTTTAGGCTTGGCCACGGCCGCACCACCACTTCCCTCCACAATCCTTAACTTCCTTTTATCCGACCCGGGTGGACCAACCCGAGTCCGCTCCACTACCGTGAGCCCGCTCCGCAACTCTTTCATACTATTTGACCTGTGTATTTCCCCGGATGATCTTGACCGTTGATCATCCTCCATCTGCACGTTACGTGCCTCAAGATCCTGAATCTTCTTACGCAATTGCTTCACGTACTCGATCGTGTCCCCTAGTATCGAGGCCTTGTCCATTTTTGTCACAAAGGGCACTAGCGACCTTAGTATAATGAACCTCTCATTAAGCTTCTCGCGACGACGCCGTTCCGCCATGACATGATTGGCGCTGAGCTCATCTTGTGGGGTCCCTTTCCTCAACCGAGTGGAGGCATCGCCCTCGTGAGATTTTGGCGAGTTCTCGTCGCGGTATTTTGTGTGAAGGAACGGAACGCTGAACAAGATGTATTTGAGGAGCCATTGGGACGTGCCCTCAATTGGCACCAGCATGTGGTGTTCGACGCGAGTCGTCCACTTGGCGAATGCTGATTGGGTTGAGTAGGCGACGTGATCAGTGGACGAGGAATCCGTCCACCTAGTCACCTGCCTCTGAAGTATGGTGGAGACTGTTTCAGAATAGTGAGTGTCATCATGTGTCAATTCCTCCAATGCCATGGGTCCTGCACCACCAAATAAGGTTATCGTAATTTGTCAAGATGATACTAATGACGAGGATTATATTACGATTAGGATAGGTTAGGTTCAAAGCTTGAAGTTCTACAAGAAGGCGTTGAAATTTTGGTAGCATAGCATCCAAAGATGAAATGAAAAACAAAACCAACTTGCCCAGATTTCTCACGTGCCTGCGAAAATCACGCTGCTCTTGTACTTTTAAATCCGGTTTTGTCTTTTTCCAAACCAAATTGTACAATCCCAAGAATCTCATTGGTGTTTGGGTTTGCGTGTACACGGAATGCATTGGCGCGTTGAAGACGGGAGGTTTTGACTTTTTCGCACGGGCAAAGTGGGACCCAAACATTAGGTGTTGACCTATCGTAAGTCTTTTAGGAGAAACACTCTCATATAACGGGGATATCACTTTTGGATATTCCCGCCCAATTACACAACAATAAGTAGGATACTTTTTCTGTATGACATTGTGTTACTGTCCAGGCATAGCAAAACATTGTTATTTCTGTTACATGTAAGTTTTTTCAGTCTTTTAGACTCGAGGAGTAGCGGGAAAATAATTTTTAAAAAATAAGGGTGTGTTGCACCAAGACAAAAATATAAGCAAAAAATATTCTGCCTAGTTTATTTGAAGAAAAGAATAATGTAGATAAGATATGTCAACTAAAAAGAGTTTGACGGTGCATAAATAAAAAGGCCATTGGCCATGTACGAAACCATGTCAAGAGGGTATTAGAAAGGGAAAAATGATATCTCTGTTATAGTTTTTAATTTTTACGTTTCATATTTTAGAAAGGGGAAAAAAAAACGAAAAAGGAGTATCTAGTTGATTTGTATTGCGTACCTTGGGGTGGCGGTTGGAGCCCGCTGCTGAGTGGCTCTTGTACGGACGGCCACCGGCGAGCGGACTCGGCTCGATACGAGTCAGCTTGGCGCTGCTGATCGGCTGGGTTAACCCTAGACTGGCTCACTGCTAGTAAGTGGAAATCCGAGTCTAAATTGTTGGACGCGTCGTCCGGAGAGCCGAGCCGGATGTCCTCGGACATCTCTAGCTGCATGAGCTCGCTAGGCTCTGCTGCGGGGGCCGAAACAGCTGGAGGGTTTGGACCGGGAGCAACGGGCTGACCGTTGCGGCCCGTTTCGGCTTCTGAGTCTGACTCTGCCTCCTCGTCCTCCTCTTGATCCTCCTCTTCCTCGTCCTCTTCTTCGTCTTCTTGGGCGGCGTCGAGAGGCGGGTCGGTGCACATTGCTGGGAGGTGCGGAGAGTGGAAATGTGGGTGGTCGGATGACGTGGCAGGGTTGGAGGTTGAGTGCTCGGAGAGGGCGGGTTTTGGGGGAGGAGGGTGGTTGTGGTCAACGAAGAAGGTTTTGACATGTTGGACCAAGGCATTGTCTTCCGGAACCTACATACGTACAATAATACGTTGTGTAACAATAATTAAGCACCATTTTATTTAATTAAATAGCATATTAATTAACCATATTTGAGGAAATAATTAAAAGTGTTACCCTCTCTGTGGTGCCTAGTTCGACGACGCCGTCTAGTAGAGGAATGCAAACAACCGTCTGCATTATTTTCAAGTGTATGGATATTTGTTAGCTAAGAGAAATAATTATAATAAGAATTAGAATCGAATTAATGGGTTGGCTAGAGATATATACCTGTATACGAGCACTCTGGAGATGCATGCAAAAAAAAAAAACCAAAATAAAGTTGAAGTTAGTTACCAAACTCGAAAATAAAGGAAAAAAAATAAAATTATAGGGAATGCCATTAACCCTAGCTAGGGTTTGATTTGAGGCCGGCTAGTTCAACTTAAATTTCAGGTACTGTTTGTAATAATTTGAGTTTTTGTATTAAAGGTGCATAGAGAGAGAGAGAGAGAGAGAGAGAGAGAGAGAGTACCTTGGCTAAGATAGCTCTGGAAAAGGTTTTGCTATCGACTTCGTTTGCACCGGTGAGCCATACATGCTGCCTCCTCGCATATGCTTTTCCTGGCAACCTACGTACGCACACATCTCACTTCTTAATTAACTAAATAATTAGATAATTATACATATCTAATCATGTAATATGTATACATATATGAAGTAAAAAGTTTTCAGAGATATTGTGGGTTGCTCGTTGCTAGTAGCTTTGTTTCGGAATATATATGTAATCCAACGACAAAGATACACGCAAATTATGACCAAAAAGAAGAAATGTACACATATTTTATATATTTTTATGGATGCTATATGGTAAAAATACAAACATGTCCACGCAATTAAGCTCAGTATATTGCATGTGGTGTGAGCCGAAAGGCATGCCCTCTAGGTAGCTTGCAGTAATTATTTATACCTCGAAATAATTTCATCTCTTTGAAAAAGCGCGTAAGGAGGTGCATAAGAGTACGGGCCAGATAAATTATTAACCTACCCTCACTCTGAGAGAGAGAGAGAGAGAGAGAGAGAGAGAGAGAGGAAATGATAGAAAACAGCTCCTCTTTAGCTGCCTGGCATTGATGAACACATTTGCTTGTCTCTTATGCATAACAAGTAGCTTCGATTTCATGGAAGCAGGTGAAGAATTTAGTGAGCGCCACATGTTTCAACGTCATATTCACTTTTATATAGTTAATATTGCTTCATCTATACATATAATTGCAAGTCTGTTTGACAAAAAGTCCCAGAATATATTCCCCCAACAGTCTCTAAATTAAGTAGTTTCCAATCTTAAAGTTGATCAGTGCTAGAAGAATAACACCATCAGTGCTTTAATTAATCACACAATTAACTAACAAAACAAGCAAACAATAACAACATCAAGAAATTAAAGTCTGATTAATTAGCAAAATGAACACAAAGAGACAAAAAAACAATGAAACAAAACTAAGGTGCAGACTGACGACAGACTCTGGAGGGTCTTGTTATTGTCAGTGGCTCGGCTCAAATGTATTGGAAGTGATGCTGCTTCCAGCGAGGTGCAAAGATGCATTCTTAACAACTCACCACAGGCTTACACGTGTCACTAGTTATTTTCCATCTTTGGGAAAATACAGTTCCCGACATTTAGGCAAACCACATTTACCACTCGAACCACCGCCCCCTCCTTCTCTCACTGGAAATTAGACATGAGAGATGCAGAGGTCCCCTTTGTTCTAAATACAGAAAGCGATTTAAGAGTATTTGTCGATATCATAAATGTAAGGTTGAAATGTTAGATGGGAGTTGCTACACAGACCTATAGGCGATAGATGCCAAATACTGAATGTTTCAACTAAAATACGTACAATACTGGAAACTGAGCCCTTTTTTGATGATCGAATCAAAGTTTTTAGATATATGTATGTGTTCTTAAAAATAGTACCGATGATCAATATGTATGTATGTATGTATGTATAGTATCCGAATATATATCATTGTACATATTTTAGGGGAAAAGTGTTAAATTATGTATATATAAACAATACTAATTATATGTATAGATGCATGTGTGTTAATAGCATTGATGGGTTTTTTTTTGTCATCATATCTTGTAAATTAAGGAAACATTTTAACTGAATTTTACTTGTTATGTCTGCGAAATAAATCAGTACTGTAAAACAAACCATAAATATGTTTTCTTTCTAGTATTAGTTGCTGAGTTTGCACTGAACTTACACCACAAAAAGCAATATTTGACATTGAATTAATAAAATTGAAGAGGAGGCAATGAAGAACATGGAAATCTGTGGAAGCTAAGAATATTCTTACCCCACCCCAGGGGGGAAAGAGAAGGAGACACACATCAAGTAGAACCATTCGGATTCGGTTAAGTCCTCAGGGGATAAGGAGGCGCAAGGGCGGCGTGCCGGGGGCTGGTTAGTTTCTCCGGCAGACAATGAGTCGTACAGCTCTCTAAGCTGCTGGCTCCGCTGAAGAGAGGCCTCTTCTGCACTGACTTCCATGGGTTGCACCGTCTTCCTCGTCTTGATGGCTCCATTGTAGTACCCATCTGACCATACTAAGATCCTGATACATCATCATCATCATCATCGACATCATCATGAATTATAATTAAGTAATGTTGTTGAAGAATGAATAGAAATGAAATGAAATTGTAGGTAAGGATAAGGGAGGGGGAGGTAGGTAGAAGTACCCTTGTTGTGGACAGATTTGCCAGAAGAGACTATAAGTCCATTGGACAGATTGGACTGACGCCTGTAACATGCTGCGGAGCCTGCTGCTACTTGGCGGTGCAGCCATCGGCCACCAGATGTTCTCTTCCCTACGTAGCTTATTGCTCTTGATTTGCTTAATTAGAAGAGAGCTAGCCAGATACAGACAGTTAGAGAGAAAGGGAGACTTCAACAGAATTAGCTAACTACCCTTTTTCCTAACTCTTACCCTTTCAATGAAAGAATGTCAAAATGGTGAGTTAAAAAATAAGTAAGAGGGAAAGAAAGCACAAGATTGTTTTGTTTGGGGGTTTGAGAGGTAAGTGAAAAGGCAGGAGGCAGAAAGGAGGAGGAGGATATGGGAGGCTAGCTAATGATCAAACACTTTGGTGTTTGATATCCCCCAAGTGACAGATGAGTGAGTACATACAGAAAGGGGGAAGAGAAAGTTAGAGGGACTTTAAGGTGGAGGAGAGATAGATAGAATATGAAAGCAGACTTGCAGGTGAGAGAGAAAGAGAGTTGTTAAGAAGATGGAAAAGGTAGATGATGATTTTGAGGAAGATACGTTAGTTGCCCAAGAAATGCCACCTTTCTAGCTATCTTTCTTTCTATACTAATTGGCTCTGGCTTTTGTATCAGTTGTAAGATGATGATGATGATGATGATGTTGATTATGTTAAAAAATTGTAAAGAAATGAAGGGTCGTTGGCTTTGGTTGATGGGGAGGGGGTAGAAGTGAATTCTAGAGAGAGAGAGAGAGAGAAAGAGCATGAGATTTTGGAGAAGATGGGTGGTTTTGACCGGTCGGTCTACCAGACAGTTCATACAGACTGAGTCATATGCAGTGCCTGCTTTGCTCTGCTGATTTTGTTAGTTGTGCGCGCGTGGATTGGCTTGGCTTGCCTTCATATATGATTGCAACATTGAGTGTCACTAAATGCATATTGTCAAGAGAGAGAGAGAGAGAGAGAGAGAGAGAGAGAGAGAGAAGGGATTAGGTGGCCAAAGACTGGGCGTTGGAGCTGTATGTACACACAAAAAAGGTAATTTAGAATGGGGCGTGGAAGCTACCAATACTTCCACATCCACTTGTCAAATGGTCACGTGGTAAAATGTCAATTCAAGGTCAGCACTCATTTTCCTTTTCATTCTCTATCTTTCCCATTTAATGAGGACATATCACACGGTCCAATTGAGAACTCCAACTACTTAATCTGGTGAAATTGAAGACATTAGTCCCGAGGGTTTTTCCCAAGTATAAGTTGTGTTTTTTCTTCTTCTTTTTCCTGCAGGATTTAAATTTTCACAACATTATAGTAGTGTGTGTGTGTGAGAAATTCTTCATATTTTTAGTCTAGACTATCGCTTTTATTAAAAAAACAAAGTCTTGTTTTTTCTTTTTATATAACCTTCAAATCTGTGTTTGTGATTGGTCAACTTTTAAAACCAAATTGTTTCATATATATTTCTATTGTTGTTTTGCTTTTATTAGACATATTTATGAGAAAATCTTTTAATCTAGCCTTATATATAATAATTATCTCACAAATGTCGGTATCATAACAAGTAAAGATAAGAGGCTCATTGTACAAACATGTCACATGACTTGTCATTTGCTAGTATTTAGGTTTTAGATAAATTTGCTTATATAATTTTCCAGATTCTCTGTGATCTGAACCTTTAGCTCAGAAGTTTTAGATTGGCTGCTTCCTATCTGCAGTAAATAAATGAGAGCAGAAAAATGATGCCCCAAACTGCTATCTACTCTACTGAAATGCTTGCCCATATCCAACCCATCAAACGCTATCTGCCCCAAAACTTTAACTTTAGAAATTGAACTAAAGCAAGGGTTTGTAGCTCAAGTGATTAAGAACATTTATCCATGCACCATAAGTCCTAGATTCAATTATCCCTTCCCCGTATCAGGGAAAAACAAAAAGATTGCAGACCTTCTCATGAAAGGCAACTTGTATAAGGTGAATGAAACAACAGAAATTTGGTTGGTAGTTGGTACCATTTATTTGCCTCTCCATTGTAACCTAATCAAGAACAACAATTTTTTTGCTTGCCCATTATAATCTGAATCAAGACCAGTTCAGTTCACTTCAAGCTTTCAAGCGCTATGGAGAAACGACAGGCCATGAAGGGTGATAGGGTAGGGCGTGGTCCATGAAGGGTCAGATTGATGGAGATACTCCTCAAAATGGGTTGTCTTCTACCACTTCTACACTGCCATTTGTCCCAATTCACACCACTTGTCATCTCGAGTAATCTATCGGAACAACTGTAAGGCTAATGAAGTATAGCTCAATGAAAAATGGTCTTGACTTGTAAACCAGTGTGTATGTGAGAATCCCCCTCCTTCTAGACTATCGCTTGTATTTTTTTTTTAAAAACAGAGACATATATTATTCATCTACAATTGGGCCGAATTTAGCCTTGTCCAATTGGTGGTCAGGCCGAAGCCAAATTTCACTCTTTCAGGGCCAGCCCAAAAAAACCCCAATTGGCCTCTTGGCCTCATGCCGAACCTGGGCTCAGGAAATGTGGATCTTCACTGTTTCATTAAATAAGTAAAGAAAGTTCCAAGGGACAAACAAACATATAATAAAAATTTGGTGCAGAATGAGACAAGGGAACACACTGTTTCTCTGTGGAAAAAGCACCCAAAAGGCAGGATATGTTTTATTAGTGGACTCTCCACTTATGATATAAATTTGCCCTCTAATTGCAGTTTTTAGACTTTGTGACCCAAATGTTGCTGTCCTATCATATCCTATCCTCCTAGGCCTATGCACCCCACAACCTCATCAATTTATTTGAGGACACTGATCGACCAGACTTCATGGCCCGCGCACATTTTGCATTGCAATGGGCTAATGGGCTAATTTATTAATTTATACTCCATTTAATTTAGAGAAAGAAAAACAAAAACAAGAACAAATCATGTTGCTTCTAGGGTACGGATGCTTTAGTAATTAAAAATAATAATTAAGATGGTTTTCTTCACTAATTTTTTTGGCAGTTTGCGTTTGAAAGTTTTGGTGGAGTTGGAAAGAAAGATATGCAATGTATCTGTTGTTGCTTTTTCTTTTTCTTTTTGGTAACATGGGGGCCTAAAAGCCCAGCAAAGCAGCAACAAAACGATGCCTGGACACACCCATGGCATCAGCATACAAAATATCCTTCAGGAAGTCAGGAGCCGTCTCAAAGAGATGAATCCCAGGACCAAAATCGATGCTCCTAGCAGACAAAGCATCAGCAGCAACATTCTGCTCACGGCAGATATGATTAATAGAGCAACGCCAATCCTTGTTGATCTTTGACTTGCAACAACATATGATGCTTAAGAGTGGATGAGTGGGAATGTATCTGTTGTTGCTTTTATCATTATGTTTTGATAAAACATCTGATAGGCAGACTTTTTATTTCCCCAATATAGTTAGTGGTACCGACTAAAAAGAGTGCTGATTTTCAACTCCCGATAGAAATATACTAATTAATAATTGTTTGTGTCATTAAGCCAATAAATCTCAGCATCTGAATTTGATATGTTTTTTTTTTTCTTTTGGTAAGCAATGCTTACCATGAAATATGATAAGTGGTATGTTACCGATATGTTTTTAGCACAATTGCATTTTCGTAGTGTTGTTTTGCTTCACCAAGTGATTGTTTCATACCAACAATCATTCTGGTTCTGATTTTGAATTTATAATATATTGTATTCACCTCAAATAGACATGCTAATTAATCTTGACTACACATTTTGTCAAACTCATGTGATATCTTTCGGTACGAAAATGCAAACCTACCCGCACTATCTCAGTAAAACATCTTTCCCTTTTAACCAAAAAATGGACATGATGATGTCTATTATAACTTGCATACCCACAAAGAAGTTTGAAGAATTTTATTTTTTAAGAGAGAATTTCAACGGTACGAGGTAAACTGTATTGATTAAAAAAATGTGAGAGATGAGCTTCAAACCTAACCCCGATTACAATCATCAACTAAATGAAAGTTTTATATTGTGTTGCATTAATGAAGTTTATGGCATGAAAAGAAAGGCCAAAACATACTCAAATTTCACTCGTTCACATTGCTTTGCATTAATGAAGCTTCTGGCAATAGGCATCTAGCATCCTTCCTCCTTGTAATTTTATTTTAGTCATCAACATAGAAAAAAAGAAGAGAGATTTTGGAATGCAGTGGGAGCATTAGACGGTCGACGGTGCATCAACCGAGCAGGATGACATGTCAGTGGGCCCAAAATAGTAAACGCGTAAATCAAAGCAAAAGGCAAAAGAAAGAGACGAGAGTCTGCACGAAAGTCAGATTAACGTACGGCTGATGCTTTCCGTGGCACGGACTGGATAATATACCAAGTAATTTGGTTGTTGGTAGGTATATGTCATCTGTCCCTTTCCCATCATATAAACTCTTGAATTTCAAATATTAATTAAGAAATTATGAATTGAGGAATTTAAAAAGGGAAATTAAAATTGAGAATGAGATAGTCAATGATGGTAGGCTACTTGGGGAATTCAGGGGTAAGGTTCCCTCTAATCTCTATGTGGAAGGAGAGTAGGCTACTTGGTTAGTCCGACGATTGAACTCTTTTATATAGGGATGCTCGCATAATCATCTAAACTTTAGTCTCATTTTTATACTGGTTACCTCTCTTCAATAATATATTGACGATATTCTCTAAGACTCATGTATTAGTAAACACATGAATTTGCATCGAAATATTGAATATGTCCTGATTCATAAAACACTCAATCCCATATAGAAAGTGTCGTTAGTTTGAGGTAGGTTAGTCCTTTCCAATTGACATGATCATCTTTTAAATAATAATACTAACTTAATGGGAGTATTAGTATTACCTGGCTAGTGCTAGTGGGAATCATCATTCATGAATATGAATATTCAATCCCGCGTTGGATTCGTGTCCATTAGCCAGAATAACCTTTTGTGAAAGGTACGGACAATAATCGTACGGACTACTTGAACAAAGGTTACAGCTGGTGCATCATTTTTCCCAGGAAAGTTCGAACTTCTTCAACAAAACAAAATTAGTGTTTCAAAAAAGGAGGAGATTAGTTGGTGCCATGCTATCCCAATACTGAATTAACAGTTAATTGTATTATAATGTGTTTGTTGTCAATTTTGAATGTCATTCGAGTTGGAGTTTATCAATATCTGCCATTTTTAAGCACGATATAGATAGAATACTTTGGTTCAACTTTCAATTGAGTTTGAAATTTTCTCATCTTTGCTCTCATTATGGCGCTCCCATTAGTGCTGGACATGAAAGGAATTTCGGTGGAGGAAATCTCAAGTCTTTGCCATTTTTAGCCAAGCAAATGTAATGTGGCCTAGTCCACACCAGTTAGCAAAATTCGCTTTGAATCTTGAGAACTCGATCGAAGTATGGATATAGTCCAAGAGAAACTGAGTGGTTCTATGAACCCGTGGAACAAGATATTTCTGTTTTGTCATAGTTTAATGAAAAGTTGAAGTTTCTATTAAGAAAAGAGAAAAGAAAAAATCAATATATACAAAAACGCCGAGTTAAAACGACTCTTGTAGATTCGCTCCACAACGTCATCTCATGATATACTTAATTGTTCATAATAAAGCGTTTGTTAGTTTATAGATGTTGATAGGGTGGAGGTACGTACTTGCGGGGAAGGGACTGGACCTGGCTTAGGCTACATATGATTAGTCAATACACGGTTTTTGTTAAGTGAAAGATCCATTTAACAAGATCACACAACCGTTTACGCATTCATTTGATCAGGATTGATGCTAATTTATCCACTAATTAAACGGATTTGTAGATTAAAAATTGGTAGCTCGCTAGCTAGCTATACGCCAAACTTTGTCATCATAGCTAAATTAGGTCATGTTCATGCTGTCTAACTAAAGTTAGGCACTTAATTTCTTAACTTAACTCCGAATTAAGCTCCCAATCGATTCACAATTCTATTGGTTCACCCTTCTTTTTTTCCGACCAAGTTTATTGGACAAACATTAAGATCAGATATATATTTTTTTTGAACAAACATTAAGATAAGATATATATATTTTTTGGACAAGCATTAAGATAAGATATAATATTTCCATTTTGACCACACAAAAAAAAAAAAAAAAAAAAAAAAAAAAAAAACATGTAAGAAGTAGCCAACATGATCACGTAAAAGACATCAAAAATTGTATATGGGAGGCCAATAAAATTAAGACAAAAGATGTTTACCGAAAAAATGGCATAGAAGTAATTGTAGACAATATAGAAAGTGGCATCTCCACTATGAGTAAGACATGGTGTCATTTTCTATTTAATCATCACTAGGGACTTGGAGGTCAGTGTTTCAAGCGTACGTTTTTATCTGATTTTATAATCCAGATATTCTAGATTTTTCCCATTAGCTTCTCTTTCCTTTTGACTCGTTTTCAGACAGCTTTTTGAAGTAGAATTGATTTGATTACAGAATTCCCTAAGTTATTATGATATTTTACTTCATCATAAGAGCCACATGTTTTCTAATTCCAACCTAACTTATTGACAAATGCATCTAAATATATATATATATATATATATATATGAGCTAGTTATAGTCGTTCACGAGTAATATCGATGATTAATTTTAGATACAACAATGAATAACCATCCATATATAGCTTAATTGGATTGTGAGCTTAAGGACCATCTGTTGTTGATCAACCTTTGCATGACATGACACTGCAACCGTGCATGTTTGTGAGTTGTTGTGAGCATGCACTAATAACATGTCAAAAGTGATCATGATTAAGTTTGGTGATCAACCCACAATGACTTTGTGTGATTGATCAACGATGGGGAATATATTGGCACATTTGCGAAAAGACAATTATGCAACCGTGTTCCACTTGGGTCACTAAGTTCATTGATCAAATGCATACCCTATTTCAGATAAATGCGCACATACACCATGCATATATGTCGATTTTTTAGGCATGCATGTCACAATTTTTAGGGCATTGTCTTTAAATTGAAGTGCAAAGGAAAATCCCCTTTGCTATAGCTAAGTCCACTTCTCAGGTCGTAGGTGTACGACTATTTAGGTTCCCACTTTGGCTACTTTTCATGAGAGGGTCATGTATATATAAAGCCAATTTCTCCCTTCCAAATTTCACAACAACAAAGTGAGTGATTTGTATTGATCAGTCTAGCTAAAATCTAGCAAAAAAAAAAAAAAAAAAAAAAAAAAAAAAAAAAACTAAGACAGAGAGTTTATTCTTCTTATTTCTCTAATGGGTTCGATCGTGATATCTATTCCAGCAGATGTTGAGCTTGCTCTTCCCAAAAATATTGGAGAGAAAGAGGAGCCCAAACCTTCTATTTTTGCCACCATTGTTTCCAATCTTAGAAAACTTCAGAAAAGCCAGCAGGATATGAGAAAGCTGCTTCACAGCGTCAAGGTTGCAACTGCACTGGTTTTGGTCTCACTTCTCTATCTTCTTGACCCTCTCTATGAGCAAGTTGGAGATAATGCCATGTGGGCTATAATGACGGTCGTCGTCATCTTTGAGTTCTACGCAGGTTCGACCGCTACTTCATTAGCTTCTCTAATTACAACCTTAAAACTTTTGTGTAGATTAATTAATAATTAGTTGGGTAACATTTTTCAGGTGCTACACTTAGTAAGGGTTTAAATCGTGGATTGGGAACAATATTAGGAGGCGTTATGGGGTTCTCAGCTGCAACTTTTGCTCAAGAAGTTGGTGGAATGGGCAAGGGCAACGCCATAATTGTTGGTTTTTCTGTGTTTATCTTCGGTAAGATTTATATTTATTTGGTCTATTTTTTTAATAAAAAATGTTCAAATGAAATAAACATAAGTTTTTCATTTATTTGTAGCAAAACTCTCTTTATATTTATAATGCATGGCCCCTATTCCACAAGTTGGTCCCAAGGAATTTGGAACTTCAACTTTCTGTACCATAGAAGATCGTGGCGCATTACACACCACGTGGCATGCATCATACAGATTTTAAATGGTTGATGATGACGAACTTAATCATATTGGAAAAAATAATTAAAGTAAATTAATTGGTAGAAAAAATGGGCTAATTGTAGAGACTAGAGAGTGCAAGTTGTCAATATAATTTACCTAAAATATATTTCAGGTGGAGCTGCAACATATTCTAGATTGATCCCAAGGATTAAGAAAAGATATGACTATGGAGCCATGATCTTCATCCTCACCTTCAATCTGGTGGTTGTGTCTGGTTTACGTGCCGAAAATGTGTTGGAATTAGCTCGCGAGCGGCTTTCAACCATCGGCATGGGATTTGCCGTTTGCATCTTCATAAGCTTGCTGGTGTTCCCCACATGGGCCAGTGATGAGCTTCACCACTCTACAGCTCATAAGTTCCAAGACCTTGCAGACTCAATTGAAGGTAAGTAATTAGGGGAAAAACAATCTTGCGTTAAATTACACGACGAACCATAATCTAATTGAGATTAATCATGATCTTGTTCAACAATTTGTAGGATTCTTGGAGAGTTATTTTAGATTGGACACAGAAAATTTGAAGGATGACCAGCCTAGTGCCATTTCCAGTAGTTGCAAATCGGTGTTGCACTCAAAGTCAAAGGATGAGTCTCTGGTACATATATGCACTACTATTTCTTTTTTTTCTTTTTTTTGGTCACTCTCAAAAATTTTGAACTTAATTTCATACTCATTTCATCAATTATCTCAAGCAAAAATGGCGTTTAATTATGTTTATCGACAGGCAAATTTTGCGAAATGGGAACCATGGCATGGAAAATTTGGTTTCTTCTACCCATGGAATAAGTACCTACAAGTTGGAGAGCTTCTTAGAGAGCTAGCTACCATGGTTCTTTCCCTCAAAGGCTCTCTTCAATCTCCTAGACAGGTACATATATACATATGTAATATTAAATTTTGGTTCCTTTTTCTTCTTCAAACAAAAAGTTCATAGCCGGTTTTGGTTAATTTATTTATTGCTTCAAAATTGTGTGTGATTAGCCCTCGTCGAGCCTGAGGCAGTCAGTGAAAGAGCCAAGTGAAGCTGTAGGGTTGTCACTTGCATGGAGCCTGAGAGAGCTTGGAGAGAGCCTTATGAAGATGAGAAGGTGCCCTCAAGAGAATGTGATATTGCCCAAGTTGAAGTCAATGAGACTGGAGCTGAGCTCCATGGTGTCTCAAGTTTCTAACTTTGGACCTCTAGAGAATGTTGAAGGACTTGCAATTGCAAGCTTTGTGTTCTTGTTGACAGAGATGCTTGAGAAAGTGGAAGAATTGGCAAAGGAGGTTGAAGAACTTGGAGAGCTTGCTGGCTTTCATTCTAAATAGCTATAGCTATATATATATGGACTTAATTTTCTTAACTGTGGTATTTGCCAATTTTGGGCCTGGAAAAATTCTACACCTGTGATCTAAAAATATGGGAGACTTGGGACAAGATGTATAATTAGCTATAATATTTATTTTAAGTCTTTATTTATAGATCATATCCTTACAAAAAATTAGACAAATTAAAAACTATTTAGACATCTAATGGTGTCTTACAAAATCAATGAACACAGTACTTCAAGAATATAATAAAATTTCAATAACTTAATTGAGCGGTCAGATGATATAGGATTCAAGTGATTTTTTGTAGAGAAGATCTTCGAATGAATATCTACAAAATAGACGGTTTGGATTAATGAAATACAATGTATGGTGAGCCCTATAAGGGTGTCCCTCAAATATATTTGAGTGATCCCTCAACCGAAGCTCATTGTGTATATATATATATATATATATATTTATATATATGTGGTGTAGATTAACCATGTAACTGAAACTATGACAAATTAATTTATTATAAGTGAAAGAGCAGATTTTCTCCTATGTGGACGTTCAGACGTTATTACCTTGTGGACACTATGTACTTTCTATCATCCCTTCTTACTTTCCTCATTGTTTACAATGGCATCCGCATGTTCCAGATGAGAAAAGAATTGAGTGAAAGGGTATATCATATAATATTGGATGGTTGAGATTTTACAAGGCCAGTTTCATTTTTATAAATTTTAAACGGGAAAATAGATAGAAAAAAAGAAAAGAAAAAGAATTTGGACAGGCTGTGTCAAAATTGGGACCATATCAAAAGAAAAATATTATACAAAATAGATTGATATATAGGTTTGGCCTAAATGTCCCTGCACAGAACCGCAGGCCAAACAAGATAGGATGACCAGGTCTTAAATTCAATTGTGTAGAAGCAATAGGAATATTCCCCTGTGTTTGAAATCAGTTTTATTTAAATTTCTTATTGAAAGAAGGCAAATGTACAAATGGAAGAGGACCGTTAAGATAAGGCCAATCAAGTATGACAAATATCAGCATAATTTTATTGATGTTGACGGAGTAACATATAATTGTAGTGATGTCTGAAGACTCATAAAAAAATCCATTTCAAAACTTCAAAACAAGTCTGATAAGATCAAGAGGCATATCACAACAAGAGAAACAGAGAAAATGGCCGTTCATCTCATGAAAATTGCTGCAACTATAATCGTCGTCTTCTTCCTTGGGTTCTTCGGTGTGGCCACAAGCACTCCAGATACAAATATAACAAGCGTTCTCTGCAACTCTGGAGTGTATACAGCTGGTGATCCTTTTGCTGTTAGCCTAGCCTATGTTCTTCAGGAGTTGGAGACTGCAACATCAACACACAAGAATTATGACTTCTACGACATATCTCCTTACCCTAATGCATTTGCATATGGGCATGCTTCTTGTAACCAAAACATCACAACCCCAGATTGCACTACTTGTCTTGGTGCTGCAAAAACAGATATGCTAGGCACGTGTCAAAATGCGATAGGGGGTCGAGCGGTTCTTCGTGATTGTGCAATAAGGTATGAGCAATACCCATTTACTGACTGAGCCATTGGCTTGGCCTCTCTGTTCAATGAGTTTGATTTCCACTAGCTACAAGTAGTAGATGCTGCTGCTGCATTATCAGATTTCCATGTACGAAAAATCCTTTCCTTTCATATTTTCTTTCCTTTTGGAGAATGCATTCATGGTTTTGTGCCTGTCGGACATGAAGATATCAGTGCACTGATTGGTTTTTGGTACATTTATTCCATGAAGAAGGAAGAAATGATAAAGGCAAAACACATGTATGACTTGACAGGCAAACACATTTATTGTCTCAAAGATATTACAAATACAAAAAATTGATGATTGAATTGTGTCTCCTGATACAAGAACAAGCTCTGATATCCTCAAGGACTATAAACCTTTTTCATTTTTTGTATGATTACATCCTGTGAAAATAACCAAAACCATTTGTGAATTATCACCACGTAATTCATCTTCACTTTACCTGTTAGCGTATCGATAGCAGTCATCAAGAGTACAATTTCACCTACTTTCCAATCTTCCCCTTGTTAAGTAAAACCCCTCAAATGCTTAAGCAGAGCATGGTTGAACAAACCAAGGCTATGTACTGACCGATTCACATCAGAATTTTGCTGGTTATTGTGGAAGCAAAATGTTCCATTCATTTTCCCTTTGTACATTGGAGCACTATTACAATTATTATCAGGAAGATGTGCTGAGAGATTCATGTTTAAGGAAGAGTGCATAAAGAAGCTCATTCCATGAATCAGGCACACCAGTGGCTGCAGTCTTGATGCTGGACAGAGGCTGGCCATTCTCTGGCACCAGTGGCTGCAGTCTTGATGCAGGTAGGCACACCAGGTAAAGTCCATCTTGTTGTGATAGGAATGAACAAGAACAAATAAGTTTTAGCTAATGTGATAAAGATGAACTTGGGCTTCTGCTGCTGACATAAAAACATCTCTTTCCATGTCCTCGGATACAGCCTCTTTTCTTGGCTGGGACACATGCTTGTCACATTCAGCAAATCCAACTTCCTAACATGAGACTCATTCGATTGCTCCGATAACACATCAAAGATGGTCATAACTATAGGACTGTAGGAACAAGCAATGAACCTAAGTCGGGCAAAGCTTCCATGTGACAACCCCCACCAGAATTCCAAATCACCGCCTTTGTTACATCTACAGCCAATTTACTAGTGTTCAGTTATACATGTTGTATTGCTAAAGCACATCAAGTCCGCGAAAACATCGCATAAAATGCAATGTTTAAACTCCTATACGAAGTTATGAAAAACACAAAGGGCCTTTAAGTGCAAAACAAACTGTAATATGGCGTGACAGAGAAACAAACAATATGAAGGAGACAAGTGATCCTGCAAACCTGAAATGCACAGGAGCATAAGTTCGAAAAAGGACATAAGTTTTGATCGTGTTCACTTCACTACCAATCCAATTAACCACAGTTTCAATCGATCTGCGATATGCATTTTCGACGTTTATATTCATCTTCACCTCCTCCCCTTCTTGAAAGTAGCAATCCCTAAGACATAATGAAAACTTTGAGTTCTATTCCAAAAATAATAATAACCATCATAATACTTTAAACTGGAGATTCATTCTAAACTTTCTAAACTTTCCACCTCTTTGACCTTGTGGGAAAAAAGTTTGCATAAAGTATCAATAAGATTCCTTTCTTTTAGTTATAAACCTATGTTCGTTTATGCCCAGCGTTGAGAAGAAGCACATCTGCATCTCTCCACTGGCTGGCAGTCCAGTCTATTTGATCCACTTTTATAGTCAACTTCACCCCTTCTGGACTGGAGCGTGGCCCTGAATGACAAGATATGGTGATCTGTAGTATTCCGCTGTGCAGTTCAAATCCTCAAACTTGATCACCAAGAACCCCAAATGCTTTGTGATTGGACTCACATTCACCTCATAGATGGAAGTCTTGTTAGGAAGTGCAGAGGAGAGCATACAGAGAAGAGATTCCCATTGGTTCCTTCCAATTGAATCACCAACAAATACAAGGCACCGGTTCCGAAGCTTTTCCAACATCTTCCCTGCAGCATCAAATCTGTTCTTAAGATCTTCTTGTCCAATCCACCTAGTTAGAACAGAATTGAAAGTACTGGAAATAACTAAGCATGAAAAGACCTTTTAATTGGAAGAACCATGAGGTTGAGCATAATCTAAAACCATTGTTATAGTTACCATTGGAGCTGAACCTAAACATAATGTAGCAAGTGCAACAATTAATTAATTACAATGTGCTCAATAAAGACTAATATTTCAAAAGTGCAAAGAAAAAATAGAATTCAAGATTGAGTTACATCGTACTAATCCAAGATTGAGATTGAAACTTGAATTCTAAAGCCCTAAGCCGAGTTACATGAGTATTCAAGCCTAATCGAGTTCTAAGTGCCCTGCAATAGGTTTAGGGTTAGAATTCGAGGCTTGTGAACAGTTTTGGAACAAGTTCGGAAGCTATAGTTTTTGGTTCGAGACTGAATTTAGCGTTTGGAGGCTAAAATTCATTTTTGGAATACTAAAATAATTTTCTAGGATTTTAAAAATAATTGAAACTATTTTAATTCAGATTTTTAAATATTTTAATTCTTCAATAAATACTATGGCTTTGTTAAATAAAATATTTTAAAAATAATATCTGAATTTAAAAAAAAAATTCCACGAAATTAGTTAAGATAATTAATTATTTACTATTAAGTAATTTATAAAATTAATTAAATATTTAAATACTAATTATTCACTAAATAAATAATAAATACTAATTAAATTAATTAAATAAGGCTAATATCTTACTTAATTACAAATATTAAACTAAACAAACGAATTTTGTATTATTATTTTTTTAAAAAGTCCACAAAATAATTTAAAATAATTTATTACAATTTATCAAGTAATTTATGAAATTAATTAAAATATTTAAATACTAATTATTCATTAAATAATTCATAATTAAAACATAATTACTAATGGATAAGATATTAATTAATTACAAATATTAAAATAAACAAAAAAAGGATCCGCCCAGGCCGCCTAGCGCCTAGGCTCCCGCCTAGGCCGAATTTTTTTGTTTTATTGTTTGTTGGAGCAGGTAACACACAGGATTGCTACCGTTAAAGATGAGCCTTCTCTAGCTTAAAGAACCGAACGGTCCTGCGGTTTTCTACTGTTCCCAGTCCCGCCATGGAAGCTACTCTTCTCAGCTCGCAACGCTTTCATCCCCAACTCTTCCCAACTTTGAGTTCAGTCCTTAACAATGCTGCTGAGTCATTCTTCAAGAGTGAGATTCGGCGGAGGAGTTAATATCATCTTGATAATGTTTTTCCTGTGGATTAATATAATAAGATGATGTTCTTGATCATAATTATTTATACCTGTTGATGAGTTTTGACTACCATGTGCATCATTCACTCCATGGTAAGTATTCTACGAGTCCTTATGGAATACTTGCTTCTTTGTCATGGTGATGTTAGTACATATGTGAGGTTTTTAGATCATAGTATCAATTCTGTCCAGTACCATTTAACTTCAAGTTTGTTGTAAGTTTACTGGTTTCATGCTTTTTATTGCAGGAGGTTCTGTTAGTTGGGGTCCGTACTTACTTGCAGTATTGGGCGTTTTCACTATAGTCACTATGTGGGCAGTTGTGGTAACTGAAGGTTGCAGGAAGATAAAGCTGCAGTACTATGGTTTTAAGCTTGTTTCTGCTGCAAGGTAATACATTCGTAACCATTTTGATGGCTGATGATCGTTTGTAGTGAAAGAAACTGCACAATGCATGCCTTTTCTGTATGCATGTGGTGTTATTTGATTATATGAACACGGTTGTTCTTTATCCTAATGTTACTGAAGTGTTTTGGACAGAGATGACTCGCCTATTACCGAAGTGGAGTGGAGCCATATATCCCTTTAACCATTAACCCATCAGGAATGCAGCCTGTTCTCACCACCACTTATCTCGTCATTTCCGAGCATTCTCTTGCAAGGTCACAATTTCTTAACTTGCAGCATTTTTGCATTTTTGAAGATGAAAACTCATTGTCCGCTAATGAAACCAAAATGTTGCTCATTTCTCTGCTGACCCAAAAAAATTTCCTTAAATATTCCAACTACACCTGTTCTTTTCATTTATAAAGTTTACCATTACACTTTCTGATATTGTGGTTTGTTGGCAGTCTTCTTGGTTCGCCTTTCTGGGAGCATGTTAAGGAGATATTGAACGCTGGCAATTCCGTTCGTGCAGGGCCTTGGAGCATGTTAAGGAGATATTAAATAATTACAAATACTAAACAGAACAAAACAAAAAGATCCGCCCAGGCCGCCTAGCATCTAGGCGGGCGCCTAGACAGATTTTTTTAAAAAAAATTTGGGTTGGAGGAGATGGCACACGGTTCGTTCTCATTAACGCATAAATCATCTAAAACCCAGCAAGGCAACTCCACGAGAACGAATCCCGCTAAGAACTGTATTGTAATCCAAGTAGGAGAAGCGGCTGATGAAGAGAGAATAGTGACCAAAAAGAAGCCAAGATTGCCCAAAAAAGGCTTGAATTTTTTGAAAAACTGCAATTGGGTCTTTGTGTCTTCTGCGTCCTTTGGAGGTGAAGGTTTGCTATTATCCATTTCTTTGAGAAGTGAGGAGAAGTGGAGTTCAATTCTCCTGAGAAAGAAAGTGACTAACCATTAATGGCTCAAAGCCCATATTTTTCGAATTGGGTTTTCTTCTTAGACTGCATCACAGTTTTTTTTTTTTTTTGGGTGAATTATACCAAGAAAAATGAGATCGTTCAATCACTCACAACGTTGCAAGTTTTTAAACAGCTGATGTTTGTGACATGTGAGAGAGAAAGGAGAAAGACGCAGAGAAAGACATTTACGCGGGAACAAAACAATGTACCCCAAATCCTGATTCTGAAAAACCAATAGCTTGTCCAACGGCTGGTGTTTCTTCCTCTTCACTTTTTTGTTTTGTTTCCTTAGCATTTGAAATTAGTTTCGAAACGCTTCTTCCTCGCATCATGCACGGTAGATGTTTTAATATCTGACAGCGTCATTTCCGAGCATTCTCTTGCAAGGTCACAATTTCTTAACTTGCAGCATTTTTGCATTTTTGAAGATGAAAACTCATTGTCCGCTAATGAAACCAAAATGTTGCTCATTTCTCTGCTGACCCAAAAAAATTTCCTTAAATATTCCAACTACACCTGTTCTTTTCATTTATAAAGTTTACCATTACACTTTCTGATATTGTGGTTTGTTGGCAGTCTTCTTGGTTCGCCTTTCTGGGAGCATGTTAAGGAGATATTGAACGCTGGCAATTCCGTTCGTGCAGGGCCTTGGAGCATGTTAAGGAGATATTAAATAATTACAAATACTAAACAGAACAAAACAAAAAGATCCGCCCAGGCCGCCTAGCATCTAGGCGGGCGCCTAGACAGATTTTTTTTAAAAAAATTTGGGTTGGAGGAGATGGCACACGGTTCGTTCTCATTAACGCATAAATCATCTAAAACCCAGCAAGGCAACTCCACGAGAACGAATCCCGCTAAGAACTGTATTGTAATCCAAGTAGGAGAAGCGGCTGATGAAGAGAGAATAGTGACCAAAAAGAAGCCAAGATTGCCCAAAAAAGGCTTGAATTTTTTGAAAAACTGCAATTGGGTCTTTGTGTCTTCTGCGTCCTTTGGAGGTGAAGGTTTGCTATTATCCATTTCTTTGAGAAGTGAGGAGAAGTGGAGTTCAATTCTCCTGAGAAAGAAAGTGACTAACCATTAATGGCTCAAAGCCCATATTTTTCGAATTGGGTTTTCTTCTTAGACTGCATCACAGTTTTTTTTTTTTTTTGGGTGAATTATACCAAGAAAAATGAGATCGTTCAATCACTCACAACGTTGCAAGTTTTTAAACAGCTGATGTTTGTGACATGTGAGAGAGAAAGGAGAAAGACGCAGAGAAAGACATTTACGCGGGAACAAAACAATGTACCCCAAATCCTGATTCTGAAAAACCAATAGCTTGTCCAACGGCTGGTGTTTCTTCCTCTTCACTTTTTTGTTTTGTTTCCTTAGCATTTGAAATTAGTTTCGAAACGCTTCTTCCTCGCATCATGCACGGTAGATGTTTTAATATCTGACAGCATTTGTTGATTTGGATTTTAAGATTGGTGTTAATTGTTATGAAGGGGACATTATGTTCTGTTATTAGCAAGTCAATTTGTGAGCCACATACGAAAAAAATGAAAAAGAGTCGTTGTGAGTCTCAATCTAACCATTGACATGGACAAAAATCATGTAAATCTTTTTGTGCTTATTGTCAAGCATCGTTCTCTTAATCAATATCAATGCGTAGTTGATGGACCTGTCTTTCTCAATATGCAAATTGACAAATAATGACAAATTTCAAAATATAGGATTATGAGAGTGTAGATTGATGAAGAGATGAGAAACAGAGAAATGGGTTATTCATCTTACAATTGGTAAATTCTGTCCAAGAACGAAACCCAGAGTTGTGAATCTCAAAATTTTCCAGTAAACTCTGATATACATTCTGTAATTTCAAAAAAGATAAAAGCTTTTTTCTGTATAATTACATCCTGTCAAATAACCAAAACAATCTGTGTATAAGTTCTATCAACTTCGACCCTCCAGGTCTGGTGATGACAAATTTGCTGCAAAGAGATAACCATAAAGCCTCCCCGATCACTTGAATTCTCACAGGTCAATGCACCCCAGCTTTACCTGTTAACCCCTAGCAAAAAGTTTTCCCTCTGGAGGTAATCTCTCGTTCTAATTTTCCCTCGCTAAGCAAAATCCCTCTAGTGCTCGAGCAAAGAATGGTCGAGCAAACTGAAGATACTAACCATGCTGGCCAACTCTCAGCTTTAGCAGGAGTGTTGAACAAAATGTCCTCTTATGATGATCATGCTGGTGTACTCAGGAAGCTTGTAATGCCATATACAATGTAATCTACGAAGATTTGGTTGAATTTCCTGTGAGAATGGATTCCCGTTTAAGGAAGAGTGCATAAAGAAGCTCATTCCATGCATCAGGGACACCCGGTAGGCACCAGTGGCTGCAGTCTTGATGATTGACGGAGGCTGGTCCAGCCTCAGGCCCTAGATAGTATATAGACGCATGGCCATCTTTTCTCCATAGAGACATGTTTGTCACATTCAGCAAGTCCAATTTCCTAACATGTGACTCATTTGATCGCTCCGATACTATATCAAAGATAGTCTTATAAACACTTATGCATGAATCTGGCAATGAAGTTAATCCAGGTAGAGTCTCCAAGTGACAACCACCACCAGTATTCCAATCACCGCCACTGTTAAATCCACAGCCTATTTATTAGTGCTCAGTTATACAAGAACATGAAATAAAAAGAAAACAATAATATATCCACGAGACAAAGAAGAAAACAATAATATAACTTGGAGACAAGCAGAAGAAGTGATAGAGAAAACCTGAAATGCACAGGAGCATAAGTTCGAAAGAGGACATAAGTCTTGCTCATGTTCACTTCACTACCAATCCAGTCAATCACAGTTTCAATTGATCTGCGGTATGCAGTTTCAACAGTCATATTCATCTTCACCTCCTCCCCTTCTTGGAAGTAGCAACCCCTAACAAATAATGAAATTCCAAAGATCAGATATCCTATCACTTATAATCATACACTTCTCCCCACATGAAAAGTTTGAATTCTTATTCAACCAGCCAATTAGATTCTTTTGATTACAAATTCATTGTAAACTTACCATCTGCTAGAGTTTGAGTGAAAAGTTTGCATAATGTATCAATAAGGTTCCTTCCTTTAACTTAAGAACCCATGTTGTTTGTTTGTGGGGTTGAAACTAAAGATATAACAAAAATAACAAAAAAAAAGTTTGTAGAAAGTAATCAGGACGTGTATATACTTACTCTCTTAAGGTCTTCTCATAACTCCACCAGTGCCCGGCATTGAAAATCAACACATCTGCATCTCTCCACTTGGTGTAAGTCCCTTCCAGTTGATCCACTTTTAAAGCGCACTTCACTTTTGCTGGAGCACCAGCTGGAGGACGGCCCTGAAAGACTAGAAATGGTGCTCTGTAGTATTCCACTGTGCAGTTGAAGTCCTCAAACTTGAACACCAAGAACCCCGAGTGCTTTGTGATTGGATTCCCATTCACCTCATAGATTGAAGTCTTGTTAGGAATTGCAGAGGAAAGCATACAGAGAAGAGACTCCCACTGGTTCCTTCCAATTGAATCACCAACAAATACAAGACGCCGGTTCCGAAGCTTTTCCAACATCTTCCCTGCATCAAATCTATTCTTAAGAGAAGACAGAAACTCAATAAGATCTTCTTGTACAATCTACTCCTGGTTAGAACAGAACTCAAACCATGAGGTTGATCATAGTCTAAAACATAAATGAACACCAAACAGAGCAACTACAGATGTACTTAATTAGAGAAGATTCAAAGTACCATTATTATCATCATAGCCATTAAAGAGGAAACACAATGTACTTAATTAGAGTTATGATGAAAAATCACGATATAATCAATCACAATGTCAAATATAGAAAAAAAGAAAACCTCAAAATAGTTTTCTTTTATCTTTTTAGATTCAGAGAGAACAGGTAATCAAACAAAACACTTCCAATTTCAAAGGGCATACGAGGACAAAAAAAAAA